GATTTTAATTTTATACATAATATCTATCTCATTCGGTGACTTTAAGTATGATTAATGCATGATTTTCTTTATTTCCATAACATAAGTGTTAGCAAAGTACGATATCACCCATGCATTGATATTGGTGAATGGAATAAATGAGTTATATGAACCTTGACCTCGTGTTAATTATCTCTTTTATTACAACTTGTGTTATACATGAAAAGGTACAAAAGAAGAAGAAGAAGAAGAAAAAAATGACGCTCACACGTCTATAAGTTATGTCGATAACTGCAATGTCGCCATCTACACATACAATCAACATCTTAACGATCTTTTATCATTCTATCATTGCAGGGTGCATCAAATACCTATCAAATCCCCCACTTTGATCACTCTGCAACTTGTCGCAATCCTAACTTTTCAACATGCTTATTCATTACAATATGAGATAATTGTTTTGTAAATATATCCGCTACATTTTCATTAGATGAGATATATTTTATATCAATTAAACCATTTTCATGCATCTCTCTAGTAATATGATATGCAATATCGATATGCTTAGTACGCGATCTTTCTATTTTATTTCTTGTAAAATCAATCGCTGATTTGTTATCACATCTAATAATATATGGCTTACAAGGTATGTCTATACCTATTTTCTGTGTTAATTCGTCGAACATCATGTTTAACCATATGATTTCTTTTACAGCTATTTCTAACGCAACATATTCAGCCTCCATAGTTGATGTTGAGATTGATCTTTGTTTATTAGATTTCCATATTATTGGATTTCCGTTTAGAAATACTACCATGCCACTATAAGAATGTCTGTCATCTATATCTGACGCCCAATCTGCGTCACTAAAAACCTGTAACTCATTCGTATCGCAACTATACACTAAATTAACATCTTTCGTTGCAGCTAAGTATCTCAACACTCTCTTGGCTTGTAACCAATGTGTTCTCCCGGGATTAGAACTAAATTGTGACAATTTTGCTATCGCATACAATATATCTGGCCGTGTTGCCAACGCTACATACATTAGTGATCCAATTAACTGTTTGTATGGTACATTATGCATTTCGTTTCTTTCAACCTCGCTTTGTGGACCGTCATATTTTGATAACTTTATCCCTGGTTCGATCGGTGTTTTACACGTTTTACAATCATTCATACCGTATTCGTTTAATAATCTATTTAAATATAGTGTTTGTGATAATTTTACTTTGTTTTCTTCATATTCAATAGTTATACCTAATAAATATGATGCTCTACCTAAATCTCTTGTTTCATATTCTGACGCAAGTAATGACTTAACTTCGTTTATTTTTTTCAATTGATGAAGCAAACAATATGATATCATCTACATATAACGTAAGAATTAGATTATTATCATATATATAAACACAATTACTTGCTTGCAATCTACTAAATCCATGTTTTATTAAAAATTTATCAATCGTATTATTCCAGTTATGCCCTGATTGTTTTAAACCGTATATTGGTTTTAAAAGTTTCGCTACTTTTATATCATAGTCTTTATGTCCTGGCGGTAATCTCATGTAAATTTCTTCTTTAAGGTTTCCGTAGAGGTATGCACATTTCACATCTAAATGATGCATCTTCCAATTATTAGATATTGCTATAACTATTAACAATCTAATTAACGCAATATTTGCAACAGGTGCGTATGATTCTGAATAATCTATATCCTTCTTTTGAGAAAAACCTTGTGCAACTACTCTAGCTTTATATCTCTCTATTTTCCCTGTCGAATCTGTTTTAACTTTATACACCCATCTACTTCCGATACAATTAACATTATCCGGTTTATTTAATATTTCCCACGTATTTCTATTATTCAAACTTGTTAGTTCTTCATTCATTGCTATTTTCCATTTCTCAGATTGTAGTGAATTTACCGCTTCTTCATACGTTGTTGGTTCAACTATTTCCGTTAAGTTAAATTCTATATTTTTGGGTTTACCTGCACGACCCCACGGATTTTTAATTACTTTTTTTGGTCTACCTACTTTACGTTTTTGTTCTGATATAATTTTATGTGATTCATCCGATTCTACATTATCATCCGCGTGCTCTTCATGCGTTTGACTATTTTCTAATTCCTCATCTTCATCTACAGTATCTATATCTTCTACTTTATCTATATTATCGGCATTAGTAAAAGGAGTTTCAAGTATCTTTTTGCTATAAATGTACTCATATCCATAAACATCTTCAACGAATTCTACGTGTTTTGTTTGTATTATATCGCGTTTAATTGGATCCCATAGTCTATACCCTTTTGTCTGATTGGAATATCCAACAAATATACATTCTTTCCCTCTAGAATCAAGTTTGTGCCTACCCTGTTTAGTAATATGTGCATATGCTAGGCAACCGTAAACCTTTAAGTGTTTTACGCTCGGTTTATTTCCCGTCCAAATGCTTTCTGGAATGTTATTGACGAACGAATGTATGACTCTATTTTTAATGTAACATGTTGTCACAATTGCTTCAGCCCAAAATCTTTCAGGTAACTCGGCATTTTTAAGCATCGCGCGTACTAGATCTAACAATGTTCTATTAATTCGTGCAATTCCGTTCATTTGTGGTGTATCTACGTTTGTTCGTTCATGCTTTATTCCCATTTTATCAAACATTTGATTAAGAACTTTATTACAATACTCTAGTCCATTATCACTTCTAAATCTTTTTACTTTTCTATCTGTCTCTCTTTCTACCCTAGCTATGTATTTTTGGATATATTCAGTTACTTCATTTTTACTGTGTAAACAATATACTGTTACTTTTCTAGAATAATCGTCAGTAAATGTTAAAACATATTTTGCTCCACCAATTGATTTAATTGGCATAGGGCCACACAAATCAGAATGAATTAACTCTAAGACATTTTTCGTTTGTCTACTGCCTAATTCTTTACAAGGTGCTTTGGTTGATTTACTAACGCTACAACTATTACAATGCATGTCATTTATATTTATATTATCTAAGCCTCTGACTAAGTTTTCTTTTGATAATTCTTTTATAGTTTTCATATTTACATGGCAGAATCTTTGATGCCATCTTTCGCAATCTGTTAATTTATTAGTATATGTAATGTGTGTCTCGCTTTGATTTATACTATTTATATTCTTTATAACTTTTGCTTTAATAATATATAAACCATTTTTACATAAAGCTTCCCCCACTATCATCTTGTTCTCTTTGTCTTGAATTTTAAGTTTTCCGTTATCTATCAAGAGTCTTTTGCGTTTCTTCTCTATTTGCGAAACTGACAATAAATTACGTCTTACATTTGGAACGTGATATACATTAATTAACGTTAAGTTGAATCTTTCATTACCGACAAAGGTTCGTATTCTTATATTACCTACTCCTACAGCCTTTAAAGTGTCGCTTGATTTACTATCTGCTGAATAAATTGTTTCGCTAGCTATTTGTTTATAATTTTCGAACCATTCCCTATGTTTACAAATGTGGTGAGTCGCACCGCTATCTATAAACCACGAATCATCTAATTGAGTATTATTTAATTCTAATAACAGCACGCTATTATTCTTACGTGTATTAGACGTCCAACGCTTCTTATTTCCCTTCGCATTAAATGATTTTGAATTGCAACTGTTCGCTAAATGTCCTATCTTATTACATCTAAAGCATTTTCTCTTTTCTTCTTTATTGTGTTCCTTACTGTGTATTTGATATGCTTCCTTTGGTTGTTCTTCAGTCTGTCCTCCTTCCTTCAGGGTTCGACGTTCATATTCGTTCATGAGTATCTCTTTGATTTCGGTTGATTTAAATTTTTCATCATCCAGATTTGCAAGCGCCATTACAATTCCATCATATCCATCCGGAAGACCTGATAACATAGCATATGCTAAATCATCATCTCTAAATTCATATTCTACCTCTTTAAGACTGTCGCTGCATGTCTTCAGTCTTGCCAAATATGAATTCATCGTTTCGTTAGGTTCTAATTTTATGGATAACATCTGCTTCTTTAATTGCAAAATTCTTGCTCGCGATTTGGGTTCAAAAATTCTTTGTAATGCCTCCCATGCATCAGATGCCTTTTCGCAATCCAGGATATGTATTTGATGTTCAGGTTCGACACCGAGAGCAATTGTTGCCAGAGCTTTATTCTCCTTGATCTTAAAACGTTCTTCTTCCTCTCGTGTGTGATTTTCCGACAAGACAGCTTCGCCGGTTATGTGCTGCCATAATTCTCTTTGAACCAGTGTCATTTTCATGTTAAATTTCCATGATCGATAATTCGCACCGTTTAATTTGTCAATGCGGTCAACAATTTGTGCGGACAACGAGGCCATTTTTATATGTATACGTATGTATTTATTCCTTTTACCTCAGATCAAAAATTTAATGCTTCGAGAACCTTCCAAAATGTTAGGTTATCCGCTCTCAATTTAACTATCTGCGTATTTACTCGACCTGGGCCCATAACCTTGTTAGCAAAGTACGATATCACCCATGCATTAATATTGGTGAATGGAATAAATGAGTTATATGAACCTTGACCTCGTGTTAGTTATTTCTTTTATTACAACTTGTGTTATACGTGAAAAGGTACAAAAGAAGAAGAAGAAGAAGAAAAAATGACGCTCACACGTCTATAAGTTATGTCGATAACTGCAATGTCGCCATCTACACATACAATCAACATCTTAACGATCTTTTATCATTCTATCATTGCAGGGTGCATCAAATACCTATCAATAAGTATTCTCCATTACATAAGTTCCTTGATTCTTCAGTACGTGTGAAAAACTCGAAATTTTCCTTCTCTTTATCTTAAGAAAACAAGTATATTTTATTAATTTGTCTTTACATGAATCGTAAATAATAAATAAAATATATAACATAACTTTATGTTTCAACAAATTGAACGATTCTGATTGTTATCATTCGCATCAATATTAATCACAATTTAGTGTGAAATATTTATCATTTATTAAAACTGACTTTTGTAATATTATCCTATCGATATAACATTGTTTAAATTTGTATTCTTCATAAGCTTGAATGCTCTCTCATACACGAGTTTGGGCGCATCCTTAGCCCATATAAAATCCAGATGATTGAATTTGGGCCACGGCACTTCGTACATGTCCACAACATTGGGAAGTATGCGGTATAATCTTTTCACATCCTTGAAGAAATACTTTTGTCAGTTATTGCACGATTTCCTTTAAATTATCTTTTTGATTTTACGTCAAATCATGACTTAGTTACACAATTAACACGAATAAATCTCTGCTACGTATTACTTACGACGATATTAACTAACAAGTCGCCAGAACCATAGAATAATGCGCTAGGTATCGTAATATTTGCCAGATTGTAGTCCGGAGGTTCAGCCGAATTATATATCAATTGATTTCTCGCGCGACCGTAATCATACTTGCGAAACTTGCCCGAATGGATTTCTTGAACATAGTGTTCCATTGCCTTAACCGAGACGCCGTCCAGGAAATCACTTAAGATGATGGGTTGCAAGGTCTAAGAATAAATAGAGATAATAATAAAAATATATACAAAGATATATGTTAAGCTAACTTCTTTCTACAGCAGTAGTTCTCTAGTCGAGCAAGTTAAAACATGATAATCGAAGCTTGGATGGAATTATACTTCGATCACGAAATTATGTACTCACGTAATTAAATTGTTCGCGATCATCACCCCATATTACAGACATTATATTGTAACAGATCTTTCCGGCGATGTTTTGGTCGCAGATATTTTTCAAAAGAAATCTCACAAAATCGCTCTGGAGAAATTCGCCGTGGAAAAACAATCGCAATATCTGCAATTGCATATCTCTTAATCGCGATGTAATTTACTTGAAATTTTACTTTATTAAAGTTTTAACGATATAATTTTAAGAATAAATTAGAAAATTTTATCTAGTTTTCATCTAGTTTTTTCAACAAATTACCCTAATTTATAAGAATTTCGAGAATTGCTTCAGTTTTAATTTTAATTCGTCAAAGAATATCTTGTCAAAATTTGAAACCAAAAATTGAATATATACGGCACAAACAAACTGGATGTGAAGCATCCTGTTTGTTTATGCCGTATATATTTAATTTTCCTGAAAAGAGATGTAAGTTTTTGACTGTTTAAAATTAATTTCTTTGAAAATATGTAGAAACGAATTCAGTGCATTTCTCATTTATATTTCATTGTGGGACAAATCTTCTTTTCCTATTTTGCAAAAAATTTCTTTCATTCTACCGATAGAACAAAAATTGGAAAATAACACATTAACTTAATAATATATAAAAGACATAAGCAGCAAACAATGGAGATATGATTTTAGTACCAGTATTAATGTGAATCGATTATTAGATTTAAGTAGCAAAAAAAACGATTTCGTTAATGCTAACGTTATGTAGCTTACATTTTTTTTATATCCCATAACATTTATTTTTAACGTCGTTAACCTTATTTTTGTTTCTTTAGATAACAGTTTAAAAACTTTATTTATAACCAAAAAAAATATAAAGTGTACTATATTTTTTTATATTGTTTTTCAATTTGTTTAGTTATAACACGATAATAAAATTTATATATATGACTTTTAACATCACTATTATATTATTTTACTTTAATCATTCTTCTGATGGGAACCAAGAATCGTATCGGACTTTGCATATGATTTAGAAAGACCACCGGTCCGAAGTTGATCATCATTTTCACCATTCGAGCGATTTCTGGACGCTCTGATGCCATTATGTAAAAACACGTTGTGCCCATAGAATGACCAATACATGTGTGCAATGGTTGGGATCTCAAGTTTGTAATAAATGTAACCATCGCGGATACATCATAGATGCCTATTTCGTGAAAGCTAATAAGAAATTCAATCAATATAAAATCAACATAAAATATAAAATATATAAAATATATAAATATGTACATATCCCACATAAACACACACACACAGAGAAAATAAATATATTGTATACATATGTATATAATATATTAAGTGTTACGCACGTAATATAAGCAGAAACAAAAATCTGGTAGATTTTACACAAAAAATTATGTACGAAATAAAAAAATATAATAATAAATGTATTATATTGGCACAATTAATTGTTAGATATCTTGAAGACGATGCATTTTCAAATGTGTAAGTAAATATATATAAAAATTCTTGCGTATGTCAAATTATAATTGTAATGATATTTTATAACAATTATTATTATCTTATTTTTATAACACACCATTATTCCTATGCTTTTACCTGAAATCCCAAAATGCCGGATTCGACGGAGACAGGGAAATATGTGCCTTCGAGTATGTAGTACCACGAAAATTCCCCAACCAAACATCGTATCCCTGATTTGCTAGTAGATAAGCTAAAATAAAAAAGGTGTCGTAATTTCATATTATATATAATATTAATTTCTAAATTTTGTGGCATTTTTACGATAGAAATAAAATTAACAATGTTATATCATATAGTTTTGCTATACACACTGAGAAAAAAATCTGGTTGCATTAATTTGAATTCTGGTAGATTCAATCAGTATGTCTGTTAGAAAATGGACGAACCAGAATTGTACCCCTTGTAGGAATTACCAGATGAATGTGATTAATTTCTTCCTGTTAAATTTACCAAATTTTCTGGTTTATAATATTAAACTCACCAGCATCAAGTCGTTTAAAATTTTTTCCATCTAATCTTAAAAGTCTGTTTGATATTCTGAATTCCAAGATTATTGGATAAATTCAATCCAGATTATTGAATGAATTATTCAGTTTGTTAGAAATTAGAATGGTAAACAGTGATACAAGAAGAGAATGCAGCTCAAACACACACAATCAAAGAGCTAGTGTCCTCTTTCTGGCACTACTGCTCGTAAGAGGAAAAAGATATCCTTTGGATTTAATGTTAATATTAGTTCTTTATATACATTTCATGGAAAATATTGAATACGAGTTAAATTAAGAGGCTCGTCACCTAGCGACAACCAAAAAAATTATTGTAACAAGAAATTTTATAGATCCTACCAGAAAATACTCAAATCCTACCTAGAAAATAATCAAATCCTTATAGTAAAATCTATCAAACGTTCTAGTTATAAAAAATCGAGTCTTATGACAACTAGAAATTCTTATTTGATTTAACCAAAATGTCTTTAATCATATACGTCTTGTTAGTACAATCAAATTTTTCTCAGTGCATGTATGCGTTTAAATATTGGTTATGATCATACGGAATGCTTTGTCTTTGCCAGGAATAAGCCACTTAGAGGAGTTGGATGTAAAACCGTGCAACAGTAGCACGGGTAAAGAATCATTGCCACCTGGAATACGATGTAATGTCAAGAGATAACCGTCCTCCGTCTTTATAACGTGAGTTTCCACGGGATACCCAGCTTTTCTTATCATCTCCGGCTGAAAGAAGAAAACTGTGTAACAAAAAGGAAAAGTTGGCCTAAACTTGAAATTTTGTGCGATAACAAGTGCATATTATATATATTTTCAAATTAATAGGGCAATTTTCTACAATACAAATAATATAAATATAATACTATAATATCAAAAAAATGTGAAAAATCAATGTATGTATATGTAAAATTATAATGGTAAAAATAATCATGAAATTTAAATCAAAATCAAATGGAATTAATTTTAATTAAGTGTGATTGTACAGTATTATTAATTTGTAGCAATTGCAGAGATCGTTTTGCACAATAGAATATGAAACTCGATACAAATGAATTTAAAACATATGTTAAGAAATTAATTTTTATATATATATTTTTTTATATAATTTCTATTGATCTTTTAAATTAATTTTTAATTAAAATAAACGTAATTTAAATCGACCACTCTGGCAATTTATTGGTTGCTAATGTATCACTCACAACTTTTCGACCATGGATTTTGGTCCTTATCAAGTGAAATAAACAATAAGAAAATTGCGATAATCTGAAAGAAGAAAGTGAGCAGAAAAAAATCACACATTTAAAAAATTAAACTCTACTAATTGCAACTTATTACGATGTTATGGTTTGCTTAAGATTCACAAAACTGGTTTTCCTAATACGGATTATTGTGTAATCAATTAATATTCCGCTATATAATGTTGCGCAATACATCCATGATGTACTACAGATATCGATCTTCGAACCTAAATCTCATATTAAAAATGGTTGGACTTTTGCCAATAATTTGAATGATAAATTTATTAATGATGACAAAATAATGATCTTACTTGATGTTACTGCTTTATCTAATATTCCCAAAGATTTAGTTTTAAATGCTGTTACTAAATGTTGGAAAAATCAAGAGTACAAATTAGGCAAACAAAAACCACACAGTATAGATGTCAAAATCGCAAATATTTCAAATTAATAATCGTACAAAAATAAATCAAACTAATTCGAACTCATTAATGTGTCTAAAAATCAGATGGTAGAGTAGTGTGATAGAGGCACATCAAAGAGTAAAATTCAATACGTAAATTAATTATCATAAAAACAGTTAAAGTCCAAAGGATTAATTCGCAAACGTTTCGATCAAATCCAGATCATTTTCAATGCGAAAAAATATTCATATTACAAATATAAATAAATTAAATTAATAATACAAAGGCAGATGACAAAGTATAATAGTCGCTCGCTGTGGATAACGTACAGATTCAAACTGTAATCCAAGGTGAAACGCAAAAATAAATGCTCGTGATCGATACAAAAAATACATGAATATGACACGATTATACACATATCGGTTCTCGAAATTAATAATTAAGATGTAAAGAATCACGCCGATAAATGGTAATAAATGGTTGTGTAAATGTCCGCAATCCTGCATGTTACTCACCAATGCTAAGCACATAGGTCGTGGAAAAAATTTTTCTTTCCACGCTTTTTCTACACAGCCACGACCTATGTGCTTAGCATTGGTGAGTAACATGCAGGATTGCGGACATTTACACAACCATTTATTACCATTTATCGGCGTGATTCTTTACATCTTAATTATTAATTTCGAGAACCGATATGTGTATAATCGTGTCATATTCATGTATTTTTTGTATCGATCACGAGCATTTATTTTTGCGTTTCACCTTGGATTACAGTTTGAATCTGTACGTTATCCACAGCGAGCGACTATTATACTTTGTCATCTGCCTTTGTATTATTAATTTAATTTATTTATATTTGTAATATGAATATTTTTTCGCATTGAAAATGATCTGGATTTGATCGAAACGTTTGCGAATTAATCCTTTGGACTTTAACTGTTTTTATGATAATTAATTTACGTATTGAATTTTACTCTTTGATGTGCCTCTATCACACTACTCTACCATCTGATTTTTAGACACATTAATGAGTTCGAATTAGTTTGATTTATTTTTGTACGATTATTAATTTGAAATATTTGCGATTTTGACATCTATACTGTGTGGTTTTTGTTTGCCTAATTTGTACTCTTGATTTTTAGAATTTTTTTCTCATAACCACCAATTTGACAAATTATTTGATTTTTATTTAAATGTTGGAATTACATTGCTTATAACACGAAATTTAACTTGTCTCAGTTTTTATACGCGATAGAAACGGTTTTGGATTCCACTAGTTTTTAATGGACGTTTAATGGACAGTTTTATGAACAGATTTTTGGCAATCTTATGGGGTCCTCCCCCGGTCACCTATTTTGGCAGATATCGTGATGGATGATTTAGAAACGCATTGCTTAAGTCTATTGAATTTTAATGTTCCGATTTATTACAGATATGTGGATGACATTTTTATCATTGCTCCACGCTCAAAGGTTGATGAGATTAAATCGATCTTCAATAATTATCACCAACGTTTGACATTTACACACGAAACTGAGTTTGATTCTCGTATTAATTTCTTGGACACGACTGTTATTCGCTTGGATGGTCGGCTTTTGACTGATTGGTATAGAAAACCTACGTGTTCGAATAGATACATTAATTTTCATTCTAAGCATCCGTTTAAATATAAAATGCATCACCATTTATAATCTGGTTGATCGCGTTATTTTATTATCAGACGTTTGTTTTAATTGTAAGAATATTGATATTGTTAAACAGATTCTTTCCAACAATTGTTTTCCAACTCAAATTATTGATCGTCACGTTCATAAAAGATTTGATTTTTTCAAACGCGATAACGTAAATATGAATACTGAATGATGAATATGAATAATGCAGCTACATCTTTTTACATTTCTTTACCGTTTGTGGATGGCTTGAGTAATGAGATCAGCGAGTGATGAGTCGCGTTTTTAGAAATGTGGGTTTTAATGCTGTCTATAACGCACCTAAAAAACTTAATGTATTGACAATTTAGTAATTAAGTCCTCTGTAAATTATAAATTAAAAGGTAAAAAAGACATAGAGAACTAAAGTGAAATGTCAAGAATTAAAAAAGTTATCGAGCATCAATATATATTCCTATCGCACTACAATGTAATACAAAAAGGAATCAGAAAAGAATATGAAATAAGATATGATACATATAATTGTTTATAATTGTTTATAATTGTTATGTGCGGACGTTTCGACTTACTTTTAAGTCATCATCAGCGCAAATTAAAATAACAGGGAAATTATAAAGCAAATTTGCAGAAATATAACACAAATAAACATCTATATTGGGTGACATTTTTATATATACTTATTGTCGGAAGGACGCAAATAGAAGCGCTAAGAATGTCCATAATTAATATTAACAGGTTCAACGACGCTTTGAGATTGACGGAGGCCATCTCCAAACTTCAATTGGTCAATACCGGTTATTTTACATAATGAAAAACATGTGAGAAAGAAAGAAATTGCGAAATTGAAATGTTTTTTATAAATAAGTTTGACAACACTATTAACTTACAAAAGGACACTGAAAATCTAAACAATATTTATGATAGACTGATAAAATCAGTTTAGTCTTTCTCTTTGTGTTTGAGGGAGAGATTGACATTATGGAATCTTGACAATGTGATTTCTTTATTTCTCACAATATAATAGTTAAATAATTTGTACTGTTTGTATATATTTTTTCCTGCTCACTTTTTATTTCGGATTACCGCAATTTTCTTATTGTTTATAATGCTGGAAATAATTTGTAGTTCACTTGATAAGGACCAATACCCATGGTCGAAACGTTGAGTGATACATTACCAACTAATAAATTGCCAGTGAGGTCGATTTAAATTACGTTTCTTTTATTTTATCTACTGGCGACATTCAAGAATTTAACGTTATTTTTAGTTAAATTTAAATCAATTTGAAATTAAAATAAATATTAATAACTGTTGCAATAATTATTTTTAATAACTCGCTCTTACAGGATTATAATATATAAATTATATTTATTTTTAATTATTTTAAACAAAATATTATATAAATATCATTAGAGCCACATAGTAAGACATAGTACGACACACATACATACATATACATGCACTCAGAGGTACGTATATACACATATTGTTATATATTCTACAAGAGAAAAAAATGTTTAATGTTAATTGTGTAGTATTAATTAGTACTTATAAGTATTAATTAAATCTACTCTTAAAGAGTTACCAAAATATATCGAAATACTATTTCATATATCTTTAAAAATTGTATATAATTTTGCGGAATTACTATTTTCTTTTTAAATAAAAGAATTAGTAGCGGTATAAGATCACTTGTTATTATTTTCAACACTATTAAAAAAGTTTCTCGAAATATTAATGATTTTAATCCTCGTTTCTATGAATGAAAACTTTTATTTACCGTGTTAACAATGATGTCAGAATTGAATTCGGTCTTCGACCAGATGGTCCATATTATTCTCTTCAAGAGAGTGCTTAACTGAGGGATCACCTTTGCTAGGATTGCACTAAAACGACCAAAAACGACCATAAACGACAGCAAATGCATGATAAATTTTTTGAATGATTCAATAAACAGTCATAAAAGAAAACGGACAACTTGAGAATTTTTCGATATATATCGAGTGGGATATATGTTGCGTAGATTTTAGCATTCGACTCTATAGAATAGACTGGCCTCTATAAGAGGCAGCGTTGAAAGATATAAAGTACAGAGAGATGATTCGGGGAAACTCTGTCCTTCTCTTTCGTCCCGTGGTGGGGACCAGTCTATTCTATAAGTCTATGGATGTGAATGTGCGGTATAAATATTTGATATTAAACATAGGCGTTACTGTTATGCATAAAATGCTGAACTTTAACTTAAGGATGTTTTGTATATACAATCTCAGCAAAAAGTAGCTCAAAATCAATATTGACGATATTCCACTTTTGATGTATTTTGATGAGAAATTGTGTGGTATATTACAATTTGATCTTAGCTACAGTGCAGAGATATATTTTTTAATATTTATTGCGTTTTTACTGAAAAATTCCGAATTTTGTTAGTCGAAATGATTAACTTTTGGCAGGGAATTTCCTTGTGACAGATACATGGCTAATTTCATTGAATTATATTTAATATCTTTTTAATCAGTTAGCACTTGTATAATATTATTTGACCAAATATCTCCTCTGTATTTAAACATGTTTGAAATTAACGGTTAATCGGCACGCCCCTGCCCCTGCCCCTGCCCGGCGGTTATTTTTCAGGCGGTAGCTTCCGGCTGATGTTCGGCCGGAAAAAGTAATATGCACTGGAGGTGCATCGTTACAAGTATTATTAATTATTCAACATAAAATATTCCGAAAAGTAACAATATATACACATATCTACAAAATAAATTGCTGGACTTGTATAGCGTAAAATAAAAAGTGCATATATGTAAGGATTAAAATACTCTTAACCGTTGAATTAAATTTTTATTTATCGTTTAAAAAATTTGCCGCTAGTTCTTCTCGCATAAAAAGATGAACCTCGATCTCTGTTTCTTTCAGAATTTTTTTGTCTTATTAAAATTTTCGAAAATTTCTGCAAAGGTTAAAAAATAATTATTAATAAGACTTGTTGTATTTGTGATGCAATTTATGTTAATTTCTATAATATATTTTATTAAATCTTATATAAATTATAACTTTTTCATCAGCCAATATAGGTCCCACGTATTCATACTGAAAAGCAGAATTATTTCAGTATGTTATCTTTCAATTATTTATGTATTGCGAAGGGCTTTTAGGGAATTATTTTGCGTATTTTAAGAAGAATATTTAACAGAAGTTTACAATTTTAATAAAATTGTGTATTGTATGTATATATGTGTATGTATGTTTATATGTGTGTGAATTTTATCATGTTTTTCTTTAGAATAAAATGTAAAATTGAAACTAAATATAATTAGTAATCATCTAATTTATAGATACTATATCGTTATAATGCAGTATTCACAAATCATAATGCAATATTAGTAAAAATCATAATGCAATATTATTAAAAATCATAATACAATATACTGCATTAAAATCTCGATAATGATAAAGAAGAAAAAATACATGCCTATTTAGGGTTTTCTATATATCTAATATCACAAATTGACACAAATAAATTTGATAAAATTAATTTATTTCAAAGTAATGTTAGAAATATAAAATATAAAGTAGTTTATACACTTTATATTGGATTTTTAATTAAATATATCGATAGTTTCTAATTGGGTTATATTAATTATATTTTTATTCTTTGCAGAGATCATCTTCCAGGAGATTAATATTATTTAAGCATCTTGCAACATTTCATAATTTTCCTTATCATTAGATGTTCTCATTACAATAATTCTGCGCACGGATAATTTCGGATGTACAAACAATTCTATGATTTTAAATGTACACATAATTTCTATCTAATTCGGCGACTTTAGATACGATTAATGGATGACTCTTTTTATTTTCATTAGTTACATCAGTATTTTCTTGATTTTCAATATATATGTGTGAAAAAATCAGAATTCTCTTCCTCTTTATCGCAAGAAAACAAACTTATTTTACAAATTTGCCTTTATCATAAATAATTATCATAAATGATAAGCATTAATCATAAATAATAATTGAATAGCATTAATCATAAATAATAATTAAATTATTAAAATATTACAACTTCATATTTCTTCAGTGAACTCTGAACGATTCTGATTGTCATCAATCACATTAACATTAATAAGGATTTAATGTGAAACATTTATTTATTTAAACTGTCTTTTGTAATATTATCGTATCGATATAACATTGTTTAAATTTGTATTCTTCATTAGCTTGAATGCTCTCTCATATACGAGTTTGGGTGCATCCTTAGCCCATATAAAATCCAGATGATTGAATTTGGGCTACGGCACTTCGTACATATTCACAACATTGGGAAGTATGCGGTATAATCTTTTCACATCCTTGAAGAAATACTTTTGTCAGTTATTGCACGATTTCCTTTAAATTATCTTTCTGATTTTACGGCAAATCTTGACTTAGTTACACAACTAAAACAAATAAATCTCTGCTACGTATTACGACAATATTAACCAGCAAGTCGCCAGAACCATAGAATAATGCGGTAGGTACCATAATATTCGCCAGATCGTAGTCCGGAGGTTTAGCCGAATTATATATCAGTTGATTTCTCGCGCGACCGTAATCATACTTGCGAAACTTGCCCGATTGGATTCCTTGAGCGTAGTGTTCCATTGCCTTAGCCGAGGTGCCGTCCAGGAAGTCACTTAAAATGATGGGTTGCAAAGTCTAAAAATAAATAAAGAATAATAAAGATATATACAAAGATATATGTTAAGTTAAATCTACAACAATCTATAGTCGCGAACAAATTAAAATATGATAATCGAAGCTTGGATGGAATTAAACTTCGATTCGCGAAATTATGTACTCACTTAATTAAATTGTTCGCGATCATCACCCCATATTGTAGACATTATATTGTAACAAATCTTTCCCGCGATGTTTTGGTCGCAGATATTTTTCAAAAGAAATCTCATAGCGATTTCGGCTGGTCTGCACTGGTGTGCCACCTGTGTAGAGTTGGTGCAAATGTGTGCAGTGCGTACACACCAACTGGCCGATTACACCAACTGGCTCCAACAAATTTGTGAGAGCCACTTTGTGTACACTCAACATGCACCTGTGCGGTATACTGAGCCCAGACGAATACGCAGCTCCAGTGAGGGACTGCACCATTCGACCAGCCGAACATACAACACCCGAAATGTGCAGTCGGTGCAGACCAGCCGAAATAAGACTCACCTTGTATATGTAACGCTTTTTATTTTACGCTGTATTGCATTTGACAATTTCTCTTGTATATATGTATTCATATTTTTATTTTTCTAAATGTTTTATAATTAATAGCCAATTTTACCAACGTTATTTAATCTTAACTTATTTTTCATCTTTTTCTAAAGGAACAGTTAGAAGGAGACGAAGAGTGAGGTGAGCAAAGATTAAACAGGCATAAGAGTGCAATATACTTTTTTCTTCTTTTTTTCCGATGAAAAATATACATAAACGAAATAATGATTCATTATAATAATATGATGATAAGCATAATTATGCGCAGTATGTGTGTAATACTCATATCGCGTTTATTATATATATTCGCACATCTTCTGCTTCATTTTCAATAACATATATCTCACCTGAAAAACTCTCAAATTGTCCGTTTTCTTTTACTGTTTGTTGAATCATTCGTGGATGAGATGAAATTTATCATGTATTTGCTGTATTTGTTTATGGTCGTTTGTGATCATTTTAGTGCGGCCCTAGCAAATGTGATTCCTCAGTTAAGCAGTCTCTTGAAGAGAATAATATGGACTATTTGGTCGAAGACCGAATTCAATTCTGACATCGTTGTTAATACGGTAAATAAAAGTTTACATTTTCATAGAAACGAGGATTAAAATCATTAATATTTTGAGACTGAACTTTTTCAATGATATTAAAAATGATAACAAGTGATCTTATGCCGCTACTAATTCTTTTATTTAAAAGGAAAATAGTAATTCCGCAAAATTATATACAATTTCTAAAGATATATGAAATAGTATTTCTTTAAGAGTAGATTTAATACTTATAAATATTAATTAATATTACGCAATTAACATTAAAGATTATTTTCCTTGAAATATATAATGATATGTTCAAAAATATTATTTAAAAAATATTATTTTTAAAATAATATTTTTTAAAAAATATTTTTAAATAATATTTTTTAAAATATTTATTTAAATTTCAAATTGATTTAAATTTAATTAAACATTAATCTAAAAAGATGAATGTAAAAGAAATTAATTTTTTAAAATATGCTTTGAAATTATTTTTATCGAGTCTCATATTTTATTGCGCGAAAGGATCTACAAATTTCTGTATAATTACAATTAAAATTGTTGCTCATTTGATTTTGATTTAAATGGTAACTTCATGGTTATTTTTATTATAATAATTTAACACATTAATTTTTCATATTTTTTAGACATTAAAGTATATTTATATTATTTGTATTATAGAAGTCATATTTATATTATTGGTTTTATATATTTGCCCCCATTTATTTGAAAATAAATACAATAGGCACTTTTTGTCGTTCAAATTTATTTCAAGTTTAAATCAACTTTTCTTTTTTCTTACACAGTTATTTTCTTTCAGCCGGAAATGATAAGAAAAGCTGGTTATCCCGTGGAAGCTCACGTTATAATGACGGAGGACGGCTATTTCTTGACATTACATCGTATCCCAGGTGGCAACGATTCTTTACCCGTGCTGCTGTTGCACGGTCTTACAGCCAGCTCCTTTAAGTGGCTTATTCCTAGCAAAGACAAAGCATTTCGTATGATCATTAACCAATTTTTAAACGCATACCCCAGTAAGCAAGAAACATTTGATCAACATTCTAAAATGTTGATTTTATATAAATTTTCTAAACATTATGATATAATGTTTTATAAATATTTTAAAAATATTTTAATAAATGTATTAATAACATTAAAAAAAATATTTTAATTTATGTTTTATAAATATTTTAAAAATATTATTTAATAACATCCTTCTCAAAATATTAATAAAATATTTTAGAAGCATTAGTCAAAATGTTTCTTAAATGTTATTAATATGTTTATTAAAAATATTTTTAAAATATTCTAATAAACATATTAATAACATTTAAAAAATATTTTAATTTATGTTTTATAAATATTTTAAAAATGTTATTTAAAATAACCTCTCTCTTAAAATATTAATAAAATATTTTAGAAACATTAGTCAAAATGTTTTTTATATGTTATTAATATGTTTATTATAAATAAAAATATAACATCCAATTACAAGTTCGTCCGCGTCGTTATTAAACGTCGTATTATTTATTGCATACATATCTTTAGACTATTTTTTTTTCATAATATATCTTAATTTCTTTCTCGTGACGGGCATGACGACACCTAATACGTTACTGAGAAGCAACATTCGGTGGGATATGCATATGCACTCTATTGCGTATGCGTGATTTATTCTTTTGTTCTTTGACTTCGAAACACTCGTGCCGGCTGTGCCACGTGCTCTTACACGATCTCGCATAATAAGTAAGTTACAGTTTGTTTTTGCGAGTCATAGTGCTGCACGAAAGAAGAGGAAAGTGTTTCTTCCAGTGTGTTATAATATCTTGTAAGTTTTTTAGAGACATGTCTAAATATTCGTTCTCAGATTTTTCAGTGAAAGTTCTAAAAGTCTTAAATTAATGTTAGAATTAATATTATTGTGATATTAATATTAAGTTATGTAGATGTTGATACTAATGTTATTTTATTATTGATTTAATTTTATGAGAAACACATTATCAGAATGTTAAAACAACATTAATACAATATTACTTGTAACGACATAGAAAATGTTATTTCAACATTACCGAAACCTCTAAATCGGTGTCAAAGTTTGTTCACAATGATGTTGCATACAATCTTAAAAACTACATACTTGACAACATTACTATGTTAGTGAATATCATTATAATAACGTTGTGGTAATAATTTTTTGCTTACTGGGACATGTATCGCAAAATTGCTATAACATCGTTAATTTGATTTCTATTGTAAAAAAATGCCACAGAATTTAGAAATTAATATTACATATAATATATATAATATATATAATATTATATATAATATTTAAAAAATTATAATATAAAAAAAGTGTTGTAATTTCATATTATATATAATATTATATATAATATCAAATTACAACACTTTTTTTATTTTAGCTTATCTACTAGCAAATCAGGGATACGATGTTTGGTTGGGGAATTTTCGTGGTACTACATACTCGAAAGCACACATTTCCCTATCTCCATCAAATTCGGCATTTTGGGATTTCAGGTAAAAGCATAGGAATAATGGTGTGTTATTAAAATAAGATAATAATAATTGTTATAAAATATCATTACAATTATAATTTGACATGATACGCAAGAACTTATATATATATATATATATTTACTTACACTTTTGAAAATGCATTGTCTTCAAGATATCTCACATTTAATTGTGCCAATATAATGCATTTATTATTATTTTTCTTGATTTTTTATGTACATAATTTTTTGTGCAAAATTTTAGTTTCTGCTTATATTACGTGTGTAACTTAATATATTATATACATACGTATAACAATATATTTATTTTCTCTGGGTGTGTGTTTATGTATGATATGTGCATATTTATATATTTTATATACTTTATATTTTATATTCATTAAATTTTTCATTAGCTTCAACGAAATAGGTATCTATGATGTATCCGCGATGGTTACATTTATTACAAACTTGAGATCCCAACCATTGCACACATGTATTGGTCATTCTATGGGCACAACGTGTTTTTACATAATGGCATCAGAGCGTCCAGAAATCGCTCGAATGGTGAAAATGATGATCAACTTCGGACCGGTGGTCTTTCTAAGTCATATGCAAAGTTCGATACGATTCTTGGTTCCCATCAGGAGAATGATTAAAGTAAAATAATATAATAGCGATGTTAAAAATCATATATATAAATTTTATTATCATGTTATAACTAATCAAATTGAAAAACAATATAAAAAATATAGTACATTTTATATTTTTTTTGGTTATAGATAAAATTTTTAAACTGTTATCTAATCCAAAGAAACAAAAATAAGGTTAACAACGTTAGAAATAAATGTTACATGGATATAAAAAAATGTAAGCTACATAACGTTAGCATTAACGAAATCGATATTTTTGATTAGCTACTTAAATCTAATAATCGATTTTAAATCTAATAATCGACATTAATACTTGTACTACGATCATCCCCATTGTTTACTGCTTATGTTTTTTATATATTATTGAGTTAATGTGTTATTTTTCAATTTTTGTTCTATCGGTAAAATAAAAAAAAATTTTTTGCAAAATAGAAAAAGAAGATTTGTCCCACAATAAAATATAAATGAGAAATGCACTAAATTCTCTTTTACAAATTTTCAAAGAAATTAATTCCAAATAGTCAAAAACTTACATCTCTTTTCATGCTCCACATCCTGTTTGTTTATACATATTCATTTTTCGGTTTCAAATTTTGACTAGATATTCTTTGATGAGTTAAAATTAAAACTGAAGCAATTCTGGAAGTTCTTATAAATTAGGGTAATTTGTTGAAAAAACTAGATAAAATCTAGATAAAATTTCCTAATTTATTCTTAAAATTATATCGTTAAAACTTTAATAAAGTAAAATTTCAAGTAAATTACATCGCGATTAAGAGATATGCAATTTCAGATATTGCGATTGTTTTTCCACGGCAAATTTCTCCAGAGTGATTATGTGATAGCGATTTCGGCTGGTCTGCACCGACTGCACATTTCGGGTGTTGTATGTTCGGCTGGTGCAGTCCCTCACTGGAGCTGCGTATTCGTCTGGGCTTAGTATACCGCACAGGTGCATGTTGAGTGTACACAAAGTGGCTCTCACAAATTTGTTGGAGCCAGTTGGTGTAATCGGCCAGTTGGTGTGTACGCACTGCACACATTTGCACCAACTCTACACAGGTGGCACACCAGTGCAGACCAGCCGAAATCGCTATTATTTTCTGTGTCATACTTTTTATCATACGAGAAATTATCGACTGCAATTATAATAAATTGATCGGTGCACAGATGTCAGTTATTTAGATCGATCGTATCGATCCATATATAATATTTACAAGTTAAAAGTTTAATCAAATTATGTAATATGGATATATTATTATTATTATTATTATTAGAGCTACGTATTATTATTGTTATTAAATATATATATATATATATATATATAATTATATTTATTATTATTATTATTATGAAAGCTACGTATTCGATATATTAAAGCAGTAGAAATACATATTTAAAAATTCAGTTTTCAAATTTAACACTTTAACATTTTATGTAGAACTTTATTTCAAAATCCGCATTTATTTTTATGATTTATAAATTTTTATTATGATTTATACATTAAAAGAATGCAGCAAAAAATTGTCTTCCTTCTTAAAAAAAAATTACACAATTGTTCCATAAAAAATACATTCTTAATAATAATAATAATAATAATAATAATAATAATAATAATAATAATAATAATAATAACGTAGTTTTAGTAATAATAATAATAAATCCATATCACATAATTTGATTCACCTTTTAATTTGTACATATTATATATGGATCGATACAGCCGATCCAAATAACTGATATCTGTGTATCGATCAATTTATTATAATTGTAGTCGATAATCTTTCGTATGATAAAAAGTTTGACACAGGAAATAAAATTCACCCTGTATATGATATGTATTTTGTTAATATTATATAATATTTTAATTATTTTTTAAATATTTTACATAATATATAATATTTAATATTTTATTTTACGTTCTATCAAATTGACGATTCCAACTGCCATTAATCGCATCAACATTAACAAAGATTTAACGTGAAACATTTTTCATTTATTTTAATTGTCTTTTGCAATATTTTATTCCCTCCATATAACATTGTTTAATTTTTTTTTCTTCACAAGCTTAAGTACCCTCTCGTACACGAGTTTAGGCGCATCCTTAGCCCACATAAAATCCACGTGATTGAATTTAGGCCACGGCACTTCGTACATATCCACTACATTGGGCAACGCGCGATAGAGCCTCTTCAGGTCCTTAAAAAAATTCTTTTGTAAATTATTGCATGCGATTTCTTTTAAATTATTTCTATATTTAATATTTAATATAATAATTCTCTATATTTAAACTATTTATATTTATTAACTCTTTTCGATTTTATGTTAAAGCTAATGTAATGAATGTCTACACTGAGGAAAAAATTATCTTGAAATAAAAAAATTTTAGTTAACTCAAGAAAGCTATTTATTCGGTGGGTACTAATCACGTATTTACTTGTATTCAAAATATCTGTTTGCTTAAGTATTTATTTATATATGTTTAAAAAAATACATATGCTTAAAAAAATATAATTTTTAATTAAATATTTTTATTTTAATTTTACAAAATATTTATTAAAATGCATTTTTTATTCTCAAAAATTTTAAATTTTTTAATTTTAATAAATAATATATTTAATTTAATAAATTATAGAATATATTTTACGAAAATAGTATTTAAATATAAAAAATATATAAATGAAGATAATGTACTTAATATAACATGCATATTTAATTAAAATTAAATACTTTTGCTTAAATGAAGTGAACAATTCCTTGCATTTAAAGCAAAAGATTCAAGAAAACAAATTTATTTGATTTAAAAAAATTTTTCCCTCAGTGTATTTTTTAATTACTTACCACGATATTAACTATCAAGTCGCCACGACCATATAGTAACGCGATAGGTACCGTGATATTTGACAGATTGTAGTCCGGAGGTTCAGCCGAATTATATATCAATTGATTTTTTTCGCGACCATAATCGTATTGACGAAACTTGCCCGATTGGTATATCTGGACGTAATGCATAAGTGTCTTACTCGAGGTACCGGCCGGGTCGTGATTCAGGATAACAGGCAGTAGAGTCTAATAATGAATAAAAAACGATATATGCGTGTAACAAAAAGATCAGGACACCGGATCTCGAAAAATATGAGTTGTGCAAAAAAATGTTTTAGATAAAAGTTATAGGGCTTAAAAAGATCTATTCACAGATCTTATCAATTTGACCTTGGACAGTCGTTTAAAGGTCACCTTTAATTTTTTAAACGGTATCCCTTATTTTTTATTGTTTATTCTTATAGATTATCTCGAAAGCTTTCCAAAACACTATAATAAAGTATTTTTTTATCGAGTACTTTTTGAGTTGTAAGGCTTGAAATAATCTCTTAATTTCACATAAAATATCTAATAAAATGTTCATTTTTGGATTATCTTACCTTAATATTTTTATGCACAAAATAATGTGAGGAATCAACTAGTATAAAGAAAAAATACAATTATTTTTTAAAAAAAGTATGCAATTGTTAATTGCAAATTATATATTTTCTCCTCGAAGCAACTTTTATCTGAAATATTTTTTTGTACAACTCATATTTTTCGAGACAATTCAGTGTCCCAATCTTTTGTTACACCCTGTATACTTAATTCAATCTGAAGCATAATCGTGCGATCATGAAATGAGGAAAGTGTGATGATCGAAAATTCGATCGGAGACTTATTTCGACCGCAAATCATTACTCACATAATTAAATTGCTCGCGATCGTAGCCGCAAATCAAAAATATTATGTCGACGCAGATATTCTCTTCGAGATTCTGCTCGCAAAGGTACTTCGAGAGAAATTTCAAAATATCGCTCTGCGGCAGGAATTCGTCGTGAAAGAAATATCGTATTATCATCTGCAATATCGAATATCTTTAATTTGTAACGTAATTTGCTGGAAATTCTTTTATTGTTATAGTTTTAGCAGTATTTTTGAAACATTTTTTAATGAGATAATTTATAGAAGCTGCGAGAGAATTGCTTCAATTTTAATTTTATTCCTCGAAGAACATTTAATTAAAATTGAAATTGAAAATTAAATATATATATAACATATACATAACATATATATAACATAAACAAAAAATGTAAAGCAGAAAAATATATTAATTTTGTAATCTTTATCACATATATTACTTTACCTTAAGTTCTGTCCACAAAGGAATGAGATATTTTATTTTACTTTCCATATGGTTTGTAAAAGCCACTGGTGACAAGCTAATCATCTTTTGTACCATTTGTGCGATTTCCGGACGTTCTGAAGCCATTATATAAAAACCAGTTGTGCCCATCGAATGACCAATGTACGTGTGCAATGGTTGAGATGTCATATTTGTAATAAATGTGATCATTGCAGGTAAATCATAGATGCCCATTTCGTGAAAGCTGATGCAAAATTTATCAGTAATAAAAAATAATCAATATATTATCATAAAATATACAAATATATATGTATATCATATCATATATATGTGTGTGTCATTTACTTAAATATTTATATCATATAGAGAATGTTTAGATAGATATTGTTTAAATAATTTCTGTACGTATGATATATACTACTTTTTAAAATAATTTTAAAATGATGAATATATATGTAATATAAACATTAAAATTTAAAAATTAAGAAAAGAGCATATAATTAATCATATAATTAGTAATTAGAATATATAAGTAAGCATATATTGCATGTAATAAGGTCATCTATTAGTCATTAAGTTAATTCTGATTATTGTTACAATATTGCTTTATTATATTTTTAAAATTGTAAAATTATTTAATATTTTGAAAATATTTTAAAATAATTTCATATTTTGAAAATGTTTTAAAATAATTTAATATTTTAGAAATGCGAGTACCTGAAATTCCAGAATTTTAATTCCGACGGTGATAGAGAAATATGTTTCCTCGAGTAAGTATTACCACGATAATTACTTAACCAAACATCGTATCCTTGATCAGCCAATAGATAAGCTAGAATGTAAAAAAACAAATGATGAGTTGAGATATGCATAATTAATTCGAGTATCTATTATGTATTTGAGATATGCATAACTAATTCGTGTATCTATTATGTATAATTTGCAACTTAATAATAATGAAATATTAATTTCTATCTTCTTACATGATATATGATTATATAAATTTCACAATATTTTCATATATTAATATTTTTTAATAAAACGAAGAATTAATTTGTAAAACGTACACATTATTATAAGTAAAAAATAAATATTCTCAAACATATAATTTATATAATATGAATATTTGAGACTATATTTAATAAATAAGAAAATAAAAAATATATTTAATAAATCAGATACGTTATATTACAATTATATTACAATTGTATTACAAACATGTTACAAATATATTACAAATTATATTACAATTAAAAGTAAAAAATCAGGAAATTTTTTCCGATATATTTGTCATTTAAATTAGAGTTTCTCTTCTAATAAAAATATAATAAGTAATAATGTTTCGAGACAACTCTTATATATGTACATGAAGATTGATTGAAGAATTATACCGAGTGCTTTGTCTTTGCCAAGAAACAACCAGTCGGCGGAAGTGCATAATAGACCATGTTGAAGTAGCACAGGTAGAGAACCGTTGCCACCTGGGATTCGATGTAACGTTAAAATATAACCGTCCTCTGTTATTGTAACGTAAGCTTCCGCGGGATAATCCGCCTTTCTTATCATCTCCAGCTAAAAGAAGAAAAATAAAATAAAAGATTGACTTGCAGAATGTAATAATTTTGCATCAGGTTAACTAATGTATATCTAATTAATACAAAGAGTAATTGTTAAAAAAAATAATAAAATCAGATAGATAGTATTAGTATAGATAGATAGTATTAGTATAGATAGATAGGTAGTATTAATTATTTAATTAAACACTGTCGGATTATTTTTAGAAATAAAGCGAAATTATTTTGAAATTTGATAATTATTTCACAAAAGTAAATTTTAGAGAATTAAATTTTCCGTCACATTTATTTCTCGAACCAATCAAAATGATTTTAATGATTGTGTCAATTAATATAAATACATAATACATGTATTATTTTTTTAATATAAACTAAAAAATAAATATTATACTAATAATATATAAATATTATAAACTAAATAATAAAGAATAACTAAATAATAATTAAACTAAATAATATTAAAACTAAAAAATAAATATTTTACTAATAAATATTAATATAAACTAAATGTAATATAAACTAAAATATCTGAATCGAAAATTTTTGTGGACTTTAGATTTTGATTATAAAATCATTTTTGAACATTTTCTGACAGCACTGCGGAAATTGAACTGATCGAGATAATAAAAATTTTTAATTCTTACTTCTACAAGTGAAAAGTACGCTTACCGTATCAAGAGTGACGTCAGAATCGAATTGGATGTCATTCGACTGCTCCCAACTAGTCTGTGATATTCTCTTCATGAATACATTTGGCTCGGATGTCATGTTGACAGGCGTTGCGTCCAGAAAACTGCAGAACGACAGCAGACACACGAGCACGATGAATTTCATTGTATCAACGAACAATTATAATAAGCTGCGAAGAAAACAGACGATGAGAGTTTGCCGGAAAATAAATCGATATATATGTATATGCAATATTATTGAGAAAAGCAAGAGAGCGCACGAAATAAATACAATTGTGGACAACTGCCTTTTATTATGCTGCTTCTAAAAAGATGAATCATTTGCTTGAATATTTTTTATCGGCTGGGAGAGAGAAAAGAGGAGAAATATTATCGCGTTATTAGTCATATAGACATGAAGCGTTTATAAAAAATACATATACATGAATGATCTTGATTAAAGAGTGAAATAAAAGTGTCAAATTAATGCATTGTGTTATGATAGATCGATAATATTTTTAATAATTCAATTAAATTCACATCTATTGTCTTATAATTGTGTCACTAATTCTTTATATCGCGCGGAAAAATAATCGACAGTGTTTGTTTCCTTCTCTTTTTATCTGTTTTATCTATTCATAATTTTCCAAAATTTTTGCAGAGATTAATATTAATGTCAGGATCTTGTAAATGTATTTGTAATGCACTTTGACTTCTCCCATATCATTCTAACAAATCTGTCATAAAATATGTTACTTTTTCATTAATAAATTTAGACTCCATTCGTTCCAACAGCTGAAAAAATAATATAAATATATATCATCTTTGACAGTTTTGAATTATTCGCTTTCGTTAACAGATTTTTACATTTCTCAAATAAATTGAACACTACTGAATTTGAATTCTGCTTTATTTCTTCACTCTATAAAAATTAAAAAATGTATATTTATATCTAAAATTCATATATAGATTGCTATTAATTTTATTAGTATAATCAAAGTCTCAATATTAGAAAAAAGAAAATAAGATTTTTTAATTTTCGCATTTTTTAATTTTATTTCAAAATTATATATATAAATTGATAAATAGGATTTATATTGATAAATATTATTGATATAAAATGAAATTCATAATTTTTTATTAGTACTCACTCATAGCTTTTAAATTTATAATATCAGTTATTTTCCTTTACAGAGTGCACCTTTTATAAAACTAATATTTTAACCATCTTGCTCAGCCTATATATCTTACCTTATCATTAAACTTTATCCTTACAACAATTTTACAACCTTTTTTTATATAATTCGATGACTTTGTTCTATTTGATGTGAAAAAAATTCAGCGATTAATATGAAAGATCAACAATGATGTTATTGAGAAACCGTTCACGATATAATTTTGTATTATTATTCGCAAAAAACATGAATGTAAATACTATGAAAATATTTAGTATGCGAGACACTAACACTTTCACGGGAACAAATTATTCAAACAAGTACTCCTTCGTTTTCTCCTTGAATAATTTCACTTTTTGCGCCTCTCGCATGCAATCTCAATCTCCGCTTCCTCCTTCTTGCTCATCTTCACTGAGCCTCATCTCCTCTAATGCATATGTCGCACATGCTGTCGAACCTTGTTACCACTTGTTACGAGCAATCATGATGTATTTATCGAGGAATTTTTCTTGGCCGCATAACTTATACGTAATAATCTACGTGATTGTCTCAATAGATCTATCTTTAGATCCAAAGTACAGCGTTTTTGAGATGCATATAAATTTGTTCTAAAGACCATTCTTTATATTTTATTAAAACGAATTGTTAGTTTTATCATTCGTCAAAAATTTGCGACGTTTTAATTAAGAAAACAAGATTGAATTTCATTGCTCGCATTTAAAAGAAGAATAAAGAATTTGTGTCAAATAATTTGTTCTCAAGTGAATATATAAAGTATTAAAATGCTCCAAATAAAATACAAGTAAATTGCATGACATTACAATGGTGTTTTCACGCCAAAACACACTTATGTTAGCCGCTAAATCTGGGAAATCTATATCATCCTTTCTGTAAACGTCTTCGTAAATGGATAAGTTTTGGATTTTAGAAAGTCGAATGTGATCACGACGAGGTAAATCAATTTTTATAGAAACAATAGTTATTATACCGATATGTAATGTACACATACAATACAATATATAAATATAGTTTTGGATTCCCGCATCGATCAATCACCACGAGAAAGCGGAATATGTTTCCGAAATTTCTGGCAAATTTCTTTCTATATGTTGCGACATACAAAACAGAAATTATACTCGACTGCTAGAGCTATTATTTATTGACATTTGGCGGCTGTTATATATATAATCGCGCGCATTCTAAACATATCCGTGATATCGACCCGACCGATCAATCAAATTTAAAAATATTTTATTTAATATTTTGTGTTTTAATTAAAACAAATTGTATTAAAATAAATTATTAAATGTGTACGAGATTAAGAATGATAATCAAAAAGAAATGAGCTTTTTGAAAGAATAGATTGATTATATCGATTAGCCGGCCATGCAATAATGGCCTTAGCGAATGACATAACTCGCAAAAATTCGCATTCTAATTAGTAATAAGCTCATATCAGCTGCTTTTACGATAAAGTATTGCCGTTGAAAATTAAAACATAATTGTGTACATATTACGCAAAAATTCACATTGATATCCGAACTTTGTCAGTTGGCGATTAAAAAAGGTTAAATTATTTTCTTACCAAAAATTAAATAAATAATTGAAAAAATGATAATAAAGTATACAATAAAAAGTGACAATAAAAGGTTTTCTATACATTTTAATAAATTCTATACATTTTTCGCCAAAGCAAATCCCAATCGGTTTTTTTCCATATCAAACTCGGTGTAATAACGGCCAATAAATGGCATGCCCAGAACCCATTTTACTGCATCTTTATGTGTTGCGTCGTGATTCCAGAAGACGGTTATACATATATTTTCATCATCTGGATGCTGAGCGGAATTAAATACACGTTATAAACTTCTCTTATACATATTTAAATAATTTAAATAATTTTCCTAAAGCACTCACCCGAATGATGTAATTTTTACCGGTAAGATAGAACGGTTTACTCTTCAAATTAAACCTGATACTGGACAATTGGGAAATTTGATTGCAGTCCACCTTTAAGTAAATAATAATATTAAGATAGTAATTAATAATAAATATATTAAATATGTTCAACGGAAACAAGGATTAGAGTCGTTCAATAAAAGTTTATTCGAAGGAAATAAATACTTATTTTTGTATCGCTATTATCAATTTTTTATAATTTTTTTTATCAAAGGTTGCATGTTTCGTGAAAAATATGATTACTTGAAAAATATCATTTACTTACTCTTCCCTGTTGATTAATTCCAATAAATTCATTAATACGTAAAATATCTAATTCTGGTCCAATTATTTGCCAAGCACTTGTATCAGCGATAGCTTGGCAGCTTCTCTCGCAAAAAATAATATTTTCCACTCGGATACTACAAAGCGATGACATAAATAATTAGTTGAAACATGATTAATGTAATTTAAAAAATAACGTACCTATTTATGGTAAATTGCCAGTATTCTCTGATAGTAACGGGGACATATTAAAAATTCCCTTCATAATAAGCTCAATCAGAACCACCGAATATCAATTTACCACCTAAATCGGCTGAAGTGTTTCTGCAAATTATATTTTTTATATCGCAATATATAAGTGTGATAATTAAGATTTAGTTATATTTAATGTGCAAATATAAATATTACTTTAATTTAAAAAATTATAATACTATATGAATAATAAATTTAATTTATGTTAATATTAAAATAAATATAAACATATACAAATAGAGCTCTATGTAGTTATATATATAAAACTCATATATATTAAAAATTTTCGTTTAGAGAGTAATATATATTATTTATAGGTAAAGAGGATATATACCTATTTAAATAAAAACTGAAAATGCGTGATGACACTAGACCTTGTTCAATCATGTTGTCGAAGACAGGCGTTATTCCACCGACAGATATATTGGAATAACTTAGGCCCAAGAGACCATCAAATTTTCGGTGAAGTATATTTACATACAAATTAAAATTATTTACGTTCGATACGTCTACCACTTCTGCAAATGTTTGATTCTTTACATGGAGGTTGGCAACCTATGACAAAGTTGGTATTAAAATAATACTACATCGTTATTGCCGCGCAAGAAAAAGAACATAATTACTTAAAAAATATTTAAACTACTCATATGATCTCTTTTTTCTAACTAAATTCGATTGTTTGTTTAATAATAACTTACATTCATTGTATCAGTAGATAGGAATCCATTTATATTGTAATCAAAGTATCTCATTCTAATCTTAGTATGATTTGATATATATGTGTAGGATTCCATACTATTATATGGACGACGTGCCGCTGTGAAGCATATTCAGTAATATCGAGAATTATTAGAAAGATTTTAAAAATATATATAGAGATATTGTCTTTATTAGTCTAAGTACACAATATTCTTTTGTAAATAATTGTTGTACACGTAAATGTACTTGTCAAATTAATTCAAAAATCATTTTTGTTTATCAATACTTCTTTGCATCTTCAGAGAGTAAAGGTGATAAATTATTTAAATTAATTTATACATTTCCAAACTGATTAAATAAAATTTATTTAATAAATAAAAAGGAACATATATACAGGGTGACCCATTTTAACTTAGGCAGCCAAATAACTCGAAAAATAAGCACACTACGAAAAAATGGTTAGAATCAAAATTTCGTCATTTCGAGGGGGACGTACAATGACGTTAAAATCAGCCCCCCACCCCTCCCCCTGGGCGGTGAGGGGGGGCAAGTTTGAAATCTTAAATGGAACCCCCTATTTTTCATTGCATATTCTTGTAGCTTATCTCGAGAGCTTTCCAAAACACTATAATTAAGTACCTTTTTATTAAGTACTTTTTGAGTTATAAGGCTTGAAATAATTTCTTAATTTTACATGAACCATAAAATATCTAGTAAACCATTCATTTTTCGATTATCTTACCTTCATACTTTTATGTACAAAATAATGAGAGGAATCAATTGGTGTAAAGAAAACACATAGTTGTTTCTAAGAAAAAATATGTAATTTGCAATTAACAATTCCATATTTTTTCTTAAAAACAACTGTATGTTTTCTTTACACCAATTGATTCCTCTCATTATTTTGTACATAAAAGTATGAAGGTAAGATAATCGAAAAATGAATGGTTTACTAGATATTTTATGGTTTATGTAAAATTAAGAAATTATTTCAAGCCTTATAACTCAAAAAGTACTTAATAAAAAGGTACTTAATTATAGTGTTTTGGAAAGCTCTCGAGATAAGCTACAAGAATATGCAATGAAAAATAGGGGGTTCCATTTAAGATTTCAAACTTGCCCCCCCTCACCGCCCAGGGGGAGGGGTGGGGGGGCTGATTTTAACGTCATTGTACGTCCCCCTCGAAATGACGAAATTTTGATTCTAACCATTTTTTCGTAGTGTGCTTATTTTTCGAGTTATTTGGCTGCCTAAGTTAAAATGGGTCACCCTGTATATATATATATATATATATATATATATATATATATATATTTATATACTATAAAATGAATATTCATATTTGATATGACTAACAAATATTTTCAGAAGAAATATAAGTCATGAAAGTATACATATAAATTTAAACGTCTCAGGAATCAACCATATAATTTACAATGCTTACATATTTACAATACAAGTACGTTATGCATTTAAATATAAATATATCAGAAATGTTCATTACTCATTGATCTTTCTAAATTGTATGAACTCATGTATATCCCAAAAGTAATATTTAATTTGTATAATCTAGCATTAAATAAAAGTATAATCATAATTATACATAACATAATGGACATTGATTTTTAATTAACGATAATTTTGCATATGATTTTACATATAGAAGTATTATAATTTAAAAACAAGTAACTGTATCAACTATTAAAAATAGGATACAGAGAATATCAATTAAGTAAATAATACAAAGCATCTTATCTTATATCTACGGTTAATTTGCTAACGCGTGAAAAAATTAGTTACAATCAGATGTTTTGATGACCTCCAAGCACGATATTTATGTTAACGGTCGTCGTTAAAAAATAGGGATAAAGACAAGATGGACAAAAGCGAACGTTACGAAAGAACAATGAGTCACTTTTTCAAAAATATTCTTATTTTATTTACTCCTTGACTAATAAATAAAAATATACGTCTTGAGCAAAGAAATTTCATCCAATTTGTGTTGAAGCTTTAATTGCATTTGCACAAGCCACGTGTTTAATCCATGAAATCGGAAACGAGAAAAAAATCGGTCTTTATAGTTTGATATTTATTACGCCAATATATAATAAAATATATACTGACCAATTCCGCGTCAGTCGTCATAAAGAGCACCACTACTACAAAAAGGCGAAACATATTTCAGAATTTATTTACTGCTAAAATCTCGAATCGTGAAAATTTCAACGACGACACTTTATGACCAGATACACAGGAAAATAAAGTGTTGTCGTTTATTAATTCTCCTTTTAATACTGTATTGGTATTCGACAGCATTATAAATATATATGATTGCGCGTGCCCCTCTATTGAATGCTTGAACAGATAGAGAATGCGCGAAACATTCGAAAAATCTTATATATTTCATTCTTATATATTTCATTGAACAACTTAATTTTAATATATCATAATTTGCATGATCGTGTATTCTTAATGACAAACGTTTATTTATATAAATTCATGATTAATAATAAAAACAATTCTTTTGAAAAAATACATTGTTTATATTGACTAAACAGACAAACATAACTAACGTAACATTAACTTTACAATAGATAATTTGAAAAAAGCAGCATTTAATTAATCAACATTTTTTTTATATAATTATTTGCGGAAAAACTATATTTATATAATTATAAATCACACTTTATTTGATGAATTCTTGAGGCTTTCTAAAGAGACAAGAAAATAAATATAATATTAAAATATATATATAAATATTCATTAATTTCAGAAATTTTGTTATGATCAATTTGTTATGTTAAATTTGAGATAATATTAATACGAATATTTTATCTCAAGATTCTATACAAAACGTAAAAATCTATACTATATATGTCTTACTTGTACTATATATATTTCTACTATACATTTCTTTCATCATATATTATGTAAATTTGAGAAAAAAGAAATAATGAATGTCTAATAATAAAACGTATCTTTTTATTAAAAACGTGTAATTGATTTATTGAAGTAAGATAATTTTCAATAATGAGAAACATTATATTATGATAATAAATTCAATTACATTATAAGAATTAATGTATGATAGGGTAACATATAATAAGATAAACACATTGTAAGATAAAAAATTGTAATCATTTTATTGTAATTTTATCATTAGTTTTTTTTACCAATTTATTTTGATTTATAAAATTTGATACCAAACATTGATATAATTCAAACATGTAATATGTGTATTATAAATATACACATACTACATGTTTATATATATATATATATATATATATATATATATATATGCATATCTAAATATATATTACAATTAAAACTCATAAATAATAATAATAATAAAATAAAATAATGAAAATAAAATAATGATAATAGTGATGTAATATTTGTAATCAATTTATAGTCAAATTATTTCACGTCTCATTAAAATAGGCAAAAATCCAGAATAATCAGATTTAGTGGTTATTTGAGTACAAATGTTCAGTTGGAGATTATCTTTAAATTCCATAAATGCAGGTAAACCACTAGATTCATTAGATTAATTCAAATTAAGTGAGATCTATTGCACGTCTTTGCATATAACGATACGCAGGAATTATAAACCTAGAATGTATGAACGTATGGTTAGATACGTTTTAAATAATGAATCTATAATGATCTATATGATCTCGCATAAATTCTCTTGAATCATTCATAAGCAAATGCCTTTTGTGTTAATTGATTCCTGTAAGAAAATCTAATGCAAACTGGTTCAGAACCCAAAATGTAGATTATTATGATAACAATGGGGCAATATTTTTACCTTGAATTAAATCAAGCAAACATTTTACTACAATAAACATATAATTAACTGACATTAATTGAGATTATGTTACAAAATCACTCGGTGAGGTTTGAAGCCGTTATAATCCTTGTGCTGTTCAATTCTAGTAAGTGTCATCCGATGATTTGTTACGAAAATGTATGGAGAAGAGATATAAATATACTATATTTAATAATATTGAGCTAAATTATTTACAAGCAATATTATGTTGTATCTTAAATGACGAAAGAGAAGCTGAAAGAATTATTAAAAAAACAAGTAGAATTTGATAAGAACAAAGGACTTTGTGGAGCTATATTTTTTAATGAAATGCACTTCTAATGAAAAACTCCATCGAAAGTTATTTTACTCGTTATTTGACTGATATGTCAAATATATTATTTTTTTAATTGCATGTGTGGCAGCGGGATATATTATCGCACTTTTATCACCGCCATATCTAAATGATTAATATGGTATAGTAAATTGCAATGTGAAAAACGCGCTTCTCGTGTCGAACAGCACCGTTATGCATTTAAGTACATTTGATGGAATGCATAATACAGATAAAATTAAATCGATAAATCGATGATTTAATGCGGCTCGGAAATATTTTAAATCGCAGCGAGATTATCTTTCATTAAAGACAACGAGCTGTTCTCTCACTGATTGTGAGCGGTAGCATATTAATTCTTGTTCACGTACGAAGATGTAAACCGGAAATGAAAACCTTTGAAATTCTGGGTCCGCAAAAATGCTACATTTATGAGAGAGCTTCAAGATTAATTTTATTAGATCCAATGGTAACCTTTCATTCCAAATTCTTATTAAATCGAGCAAAGAGAAAATGATTTTTATAACATTATTATAAAATCGAAAACTTTAATTGCACTGCACGAATAAATTTCTATTTAGGATTTATCGTTCTATGTATGCAATCATATTTACATAAGTTTGGGATCTCAGAAAATCGAATGTGGTCACGACGAGATTGGTCAATTTTTATAAATTCAATATTTATTATACCAATATGTAATGTACACATACAATACAATATAAACGTAGCTTTGGATTTCCGCGTCGATCAGAATCATAACAACAACGAGACAGCGGAATATGTTTTCGAAATTTCTGGCAAATTTCTTTCTATACGTTGCGACATACAAAACAGAAATTGTACTCGATTGCTAAAGTTATCATTTACCGACATTTGGCGGCTGTTATATATACAATCGCGCGCATTCGAAACATATCCGTTATCGATCATCCGTCCTATCGATCAATCAAATTTAAAAATATTTTATTTGACATTTTGTTTTATAATTGAAACAAATTGTATTAAAATAAATTATTAAATACGCACGTGATGAAAATTGATAATGAAGGAAAAATCAGCTTTTCGAAAGAATAGATTGATTATATCGATTAGACGGCCATGTAACAATGATTTTAACGAATGACATAACTCGTAAAAATTCGCATTCTAATTAGCAATCAGCTGCATTTACGGTAAAGTATTGCGGTTGAAAATTAAAACACAATTATGTACATACTACGCAAAAATTCATAGTGATATGGGAACTTCGTCAGTTGACTAAAAGAGATTAAGTTTTTTCTTATTGAAAACTAAATAAATAATTTAAAAAATGATGATAATGTATACAACAAAAGATGACAATGAAAGATTTTCTATACATTTTGATGAATTCTATATATTTCTCGCCAAAGCAAATCCCACTCGATCTTTTTCCATATCAAACTCGGTGTAGTAACGGCCCATAAATGGCGTGCCCAGAATCCATTCTACCTCTACATTACCGATACATTCAAATCGGTCGTGTTCCCAGAAGACGGTTATACATATACTTTCATCAAATGGATACTGAGCAGAATTAAATACACGATATAAACTTCTCTTATACATATTTAAATAATTTAAATAATTTTCTTATAACACTCACTCGAATGATGTAATCTTTAGCAGTAAGATCGAACGTCTTACCACCCAATTTAAACCTGATTGTAGGTAATTCCAAAATTCGATTGCAGTCCACCTTTAAATAAAAGATTATATCAGGTTAGTAATTAATCATATTTAATGAATATATTAAGTATTTTGGAAACAAGAATTAATGTCATTGTTCCTACAAGTTTATGTTTTAATTCGAATGTACCTAATATTTATTTTTGTATTGCTATTATCAATTTTTTATAATTTTTTTCATCAAAGGCTGCGTGCTTTGTGAAAAATATGATTACTTGAAAGATATCAGTTACTTACTCTTCCCTGTGTATTAGTTCCAATAAGATGATTAATATATAAAATATCAGTTTGTGGTCCCATTATTTGCCAAGCACTTGAATCAACGATAGCTTGGCAGCTTTTCTCGCACCAAATAAAATCATTCATGTCGATACTACAAAGCAATGACGTAAACAATTTGTTGAAACAATTGATTAATGTAATTTAAAAAATACCGTACCTCTCTAGGGTAAATTGCCAGTATCCCTTCTTAGTAACTGGAACATATGTAAAACCTCCTACGTAATAAGCAGGATCGGAACCACCGAATGTCAATTTACCACCGAAACTGACTGAAGCGTTTCTGAAAATTATATTTTTTATATCGTATATATGTGTGTGATAATTAAAATTAAGTTTATTTAATGTACAAATATAAATATTACTATAATTTAAAAAATTATAATACTATATGAATAATAAATTTAATTTATGTTAATATTAAAATAAATATAAACATATACAAATAGAGCTCTATGTACTTATATATATAAAATTCATATATATTAAAAATTTTCGTTTAAAGAGAGATATATGTTATTTATAGGTAAAGAAGATACGAACCTATGTATATAAAAACTGAAAATGCGTGATGACACTAAACCTTGTTCAATCATGTTGTCGAAGACAGACGTTATTCCACCGACAGATATACTGGAATAACTCAGGCCCAAGAGACCATCAAATTTTCGGTCAAGTATATTTACATATAAATTAAAATTATTTACGTTTGATACGTATACCACTTCTGCAAATGTTTGATTCTTTATATAGAGGTTGGCAACCTATGATAAAGTTGATATTAAAATAATACTACATCGTTATTGCCGCGCAAAAAAAAGAACATAATTACTTTAAAAATATTTAAACTATTCGTATGATCTCTTTTTTCTAATTAAATTCGATTGTTTATTTAATAATAACTTACATTCAGTGTATCAGTAAATAGGAATCCATGTATATTGTAATCAAAGTATCCCATTCCAATCTTAATACGATTTGATATATATGTGTAGGATCCCATACTATTATATCGACGATGTGCCAATGTGAAGCATAATCATTAATATCGAGAATTATTAGAAAGATTTTAAAAATATATATAGAGATATTGTCTTTATTAGTCTAAGTACACAATATTCTTTTGTAAATAATTGTATATGTTGTACACGTAAATGTATTTGTCGAATTAATTTATAAAGCATTTTTGTTTATCAATGCTTGTTTGCATCTTCAGAGAGTGAAGATAATAAATTATTTTAATTAATTTATACATTTCGAAACCGATTAAATAAAATTTATTTAATAAATGAAAAATAAAAACCTATATGTACAGGGTGTTTCATCAACATACAGCTCAATACGAGGTTGCCTGCTCATAGGAGCGCAAGAAAAATAATAAAAAAAAACTTAAACTTAATATAACTCTTAACATTATATTAATAATCCTCATATATATATAATTGCAATAATATTATAATATTATAATATTATAATATTATTGCAATTATACATGTAGATGAGGATTATTGATATATGTATAATATTAAATGTTAAATAATAATAATAATAATATTATAATATTATAACATTCTTTTAGATATATACTTTCAAATATTCATGTCATAAGTTCACTATTCTGTGCAATTTAATTTTTTCTTCTACAGCTTATTATGCGTTGATAGCGTGACAGCTAGTATGCTTCGTCGAAAATGTGCTTGTGTGATCTGTATTACTATTGCTGCATAACAGGTCTTGCGTTCTTATGAGCAGGCAACCCGTTGTATTGAGCTGTATGTTGACAAAACACCCTGTACATATATATATATATATATATATATATATATATATATATATAAACAAATTACTTACAACAAATAGGGATTGAGCAATTTTTGGAAAATACCCAAAGATTTGCAGAACTGGTGTCAAATACAACTTTAAATTTTTGCTGTGGAATTCCAATCAAAAGAGCGCCATAGTAATTCACGTTTCGGAAATTAGACAAAGCTATTGAAGGAAGATTATCCGCGGAATGCATTTTGTTCAATAAACTCCTTGAAATAACATAACAACATTCTGTAATATGTGTATTTAGGATATATATATATATATATATATATATATATATATATATTAGGATATATATATATATATATATATATATATATATATATATTAGGATATATATATATATATATATACAGGGTGAGGCATCTAAAACAGGCCACCTGAATAACTCCGTTGGTAAGCCGAATACAAAAAAATTGTTCAGACAAAAGTTGTATGGTTTCAAGGGGGACATATGATGGTGTCATTAGTTTAATCTTGAAGAGCCACCCGAAGGTCACGTGAAGGTCAGCTCCAACTTTTTAAATGGGACACCTTATATGCTTTTGCATATTCTTGTAGCTCATCTCAAGAGCTTTCCAAAACACTATAATTAAGTTAGTTTTCATTAAGTACTTTCCAAGTTATGAGGCTTGAAATCATTTTTTAATTTTACATAAACCGTAAAATATCTAGTAAACCATTCATTTTTCGATTATCTTACCTTCATACTTTTATGTACAAAATAATGAGAGGAATCAATTGGTGTAAAGAAAACACATAGTTGTTTCTAAGAAAAAATATGGAATTTGCAATTAACAATTCCATATTTTTTGTTAAAAACAACTGTATGTTTTCTTTACACCGATTGATTTCTCTCATTATTTTGTACATAAAAGTATTAAGGTAAAATAATCGAAAAATGAATATTTTACAAGATATTTTACGGTTTATGTAAAATTAAAAAATGATTTCAAGCCTCATAACTTGGAAAGTACTCAATGAAAACTAACATAATTGTAGTGTTTTGGAAAGCTCTTGAGATGAGCTACAAGAATATGCAAAAGCATATAAGGTGTCCCATTTAAAAAGTTGGAGCCTTCACGTGACCTTCGGGTGGCTCTTTAAGATTAAACTAATGACATATGATATACACTTGCAAATATATGTGTGTAAAATGAATATTCACATTTGATATGACTAACAAATATTTTCAGAACAAATATAAGTCATGAAAGTACATATAAATTTAAACGTCTCAGAAGTCAACCATATAACTTACATATTTACAATACAAGTACGTTATGCATTTAAATATAAATATATCAGAAATGTTTATTACTCATTGATTTTTCTAAATTGTATGAACTCATATATATCCCAAAGGTAATATTTAATTTGTATAATCCAGCATTAAATATAAGTATAATAATAGACATAACAAAATGGACATTGATGTTTAATTAACGATAATTTTGCAGTAACTGTATTAACTGTTAAAAATAGGATACAGAGAATGTCAATTAGACAAATAATACAAAGTAACACATTATACCTATAGTTGATCTGCTATCGCGTGAAAAAGTAGTTTACAATTAGATGTTTTTATGACCTCCAATCACGATTTATGTTAACGGTTCTCGTTTAAATAGAGATAAAGATGGACAAAAGCGAACGTTACGAAAAAACAATGAGTCACTTTTTTAAAAATGTATTATTATTTACTCGTTGACGAATAAATAAAAATATATGTTTTGATCAAAGAAATTTCCAATTCGTATTAAAGCATTAATTGCATTTGCATACGTTTAATCCAAGAAATCGGATGCGAGAAAAATGTCGAGCTTTATAATTTCGATATTTCTCATTCTCATATACAATATAATAAAATATATACCTGCACATTCGCGCGTCAGTCGTCATAAAAAGCACCGTCACTATTACAAGAAGGCGAAACATATTTCAGAATTTATTTACTGCTGAAGTCTCGATTCGTGAAAATTTTAACGACGACTTTCTTTCGACACTTTATGGCCAGATACACAGAAAAAGAAGTGTTGTCGCTTACCAACTCTCCCTTAGCACTGTTTGGTATTTGAGAGCGTTAAATATATATAATCGCGCGTGTCCCTCTGTTGAATATTTGAACAGGTACAGAACGCGCGAAACATTAAAAAAACCCAGACATGTTTCCGTCAATCAATTTAGTTTAAATATATCATATTTTGCTTCTATTTTACTTCTTAATGAAGAACATTTATTTATATAAATTTATGATTAATAATAAAAACAATTCTTTCGAAAGAATACAAACATTTATATCGACTAAACAGACAATCATGCAACACTAACTTTACAATAGATTATTTGAAAAACGTAATCTTTAATTGGTCAACATTTTTTATATAATTTCGTGCGAAAAAACTATATTTATATATATAATAATATAATTTATTTGATAAATTCTTGAGGTTTGTAAAGAGACGAGAACATACATAATCTTGAAATATATATTTGAATACTTATTATTTTCAGAAATTTTGCTATGAACCATTTGCTATATTAAACTTAGGAAAATATTAATATTAATATTTTCGCTCGAGATACTATACAAAACTTAAAAACTTATACTATACATGTCTTTCTTTTAGTACATATATTTCTATTGTACATATCTTTCGTCATATATCATGCAAATTTGAAAAAATGCAATCATATGAAATTTTAAAAGAAATAATGTATCTCTAAGGAAATATTTTTTTATTAAAAATGTGCGATTAATTTATCGAAATAAGATAACTTTCAATAATGGAAAGCATTATATTAAGATAATAATTTCAATTGCCTTATAAAAATCAACATATAATAAAATAACATATAACAAGATAAACACATTATACAATAAAAATGTGTCATTTTTTCATTGTATATTTATTATTAGTTCTTTGCACAAAATTAGTCTAGATTTAAAAAATTTGATAATATTGATATAATTCAAACGTATATAGCATATATATATAAACATATATTGTAATTAACATTCATAAATAATAATAACAATGTAATATTTATAATCAATTTGTAATCAAATTATTTCAGGTCTGACTGAAATAGAAATCAGCAACAATGCAGCATAACCAGATCTAGTGGATAGTGGTTATTTGTTACAATGTATATACAAAACTGTTCAGTTAAAAATCGTCTCTTTAGACTCCAGAAATATAGAGAAGTCATTGAAGCCATTAGGGCCATTTAAATTAAGTAAGATCTATTGCACTCCTTCGTACATAACGATACGCAAAAATAAACCTAGAACACAAGCATAAACCTAAAACGTACGACGATGGTTAGTTACGTTCTAAGTAATTGACCTACAATTCTGATCTCGTATAAATTTTCTCGAATCATTCATAAGCATATGCATAAACAAGTGAAAACAAATATCGAATTTTTCCAATCTCTAAACGCAATCAATTCCTATATTCCTGATCTACGCAAGTATTTGAGATAAAGACCGAGATATTTTCTTTTAATTGCATGAAAAAAAATACATTACCGCTCATTTATCGCCGCAATTTTTAACGACTAATATGATACAGTAAATCAGAAAAACGCGCTTGTTATGTCTTATAGCATCAAAATCGCAATTATGCATTTAAGAACACATAATACAGATAAAATCCAGCCGACAAATCGATAATCTAATGCGGTTTGGAAATATTTTATATTAAAGCAGGATTGTCTTAAAACGATAACAAGACATGTTTTCTCACCGAACAAAAGCATATTAATTCTTGTTCACGTACGAAGATGCAGAAAGTGAAACGGGAAACCTTTTGAAATTCTCTATCCGTAACAATGCTACATTTGCGAGAGAGTTTCAAGATTAATTTTACTAGATTCAGTGTAACCTTTCACATCAAATTCTTATTAAATCGAGCAATAAAATATGATTTTTGTAATATTATTATAAAATCGAAAACTTTAATTGCACTGCACGATTAACTTTCTATTTAAGATTTATCGTTCGAAGTATGCAATCATATTTACATAAGTTTGGAATCTCAGAAAATCGAATGCGATCACGATGAGATAGGTCAATATTTGTAAATTCAATATTTATTATACTGATATGTATTGTAAACATACAATAAAATGTGTAAACTTAATTTTGGATTTTTGCGTCGATCAGCATCACAGTCATCATGAGAAAACGGAACATGTTTTCGAAACTTCAAGTAAATTTCTTTCTGTACGTTACGACGTATAAAAAAAGAAATTGTACTCGATTACTAGAACTATCAACATTTGGCGACTGTTATATGTATGTACAATCGCGCGCATTCGAAACATATCCGTCCTATCGATCAATCAAATTTAAAAATATTTTATACAACATATTATGTTATAATTAAAGCAAATTGTATTCAAATAAATTATTAAATGTGTGATTAAGAATAATAATGAAGCAATCAGCATTTTGAAAAAATAGGTTGATTATATCGACTAGACGGCCATGCAACAATGAACTTAGCAAATGACACTGCTCGCAAAAATTCGCATTCTAATTAGCAATAAGCTCATATCAGTTACTTTCACGATAAGATATTACTGTTGAAGATTAAGGCACAATTATGTACATATTACGCAAAAACTCACATTGATATGGGAACTTTGTCAGTTGTAAATTAAAAGAGATTACATTTTTTTCTTACCGAAAACTAAACAAATAATTTAAAAAATAATGATAAAGTATACAATAAAAGGTGACAATGAAAGATTTTCTTTACATTTTGAAATTTTCTATACTTTCTTCTATACTTTCTATTCTTTACATTTTGAAATTTTCTATACTTTCTTCGCCAAAGCAAATCCCAATCGGTTTTTCTCCATATTAAACTCAGTGTAGTAACGGCCCATAAATGGCAATCCCAGAATCCATTTTACATCATGTTTAGATCTTGATTCATGAATCTTGATTTCGAGAAGACGGTTATACACATACTTTCATCATCTGGATGCTGAGCAGTATTAAATACACAATATAAACTTCTCTTATACATATTCGAATAATTTAAATAATTTTCATGAAGCACTCACCCGAATGATATAATCTCTATCGGTAAGATCGAACGCCTTACCATCCAAATTAAACGTGATTGTGGGCAAATGAAAAATTCTATTGCAATTCACCTTTAAATAAAAGATAAAATCAGGTTAGCAATTAATCATATTTAATGAATATATTAAATATTTCGAAAACAAGAATTAACGTTTCTGTTCCATAGAAATTAATTTAAGTTCATTTAAACATACCAAATATTTATTTTTTTAACGCTAAAATCAATTTTTTATAATTTATATTTTTTATCAAAGATTACGTGCTTTGTGAAAGATATAGTTACTTGAAAGATATCGTTTACTTACACTTCCATGTGTATTAATTTCAATAAGTCGATTAATAAGTGAAACATCCTTTTCTGGTCCAATTATTTTCCAAGTACTTGTGTCAACCATAGCTTGGCAGCTTTGCTCGCACCAAGTAAAATTATTTAGTCGGATACTACAAAACGATGACGTCAACAATTTGTCGAAACATGATTAATATATTTTAATAAATAACGCACTTATTAATGGTAAATTGCCAGAATCCTCTGCGAGTAACAGGAACATATCTAAAACTTCCTTCATAATAAACAGGATCGGAACCACCGAATATCAATTTACCACCGAAATCGGCTGAAGCGTTTCTGAAAATTATATTTTTTATATCGTATATATGTGTGTGATAATTAAAATTAAGTTTATTTAATGTGCAAATATAAATATTATTTTAATATATTAAAAAATCTTGTTTAGATAGGTATACGATGTTTATAGCTAGAGAAGATATGTACCTATTTAGATAAAAACTGAAAATGCGTGATGACACTAGTCCCTGTCGAATCATGTTGTTGAAGACAGGCGTTATTCCATCGACAGATATATCGGAATAACTCAGGCCCATGAAACCATCAAACCTTCGGTAAAGTATATTTACATAGAAATTAAATATATTTACGTATAATACGTTTACCACTTCTATAAATGTTTGCATCTTTACGTTGAGGTTGGCAACCTACGATAAATATGGTATTTTAATAATACATTGTCATTGCCGCGCAAAAAAAAACACTATTGCTAAAGAAATGTTTAAACTATCATTTTAGTTATAATTAAATGAAATTTAGTTATAATTAAATTGGAATCTTTGTATAATAATGACTTACATTCACTGCATCAGAAGATATGAATCCTGTTGCATTATAATCGTTGTATAACATATAAACATGAGTATTATTTGATATGTATGTGTAAGAATCCGTATTATCATATTGACTACGTACCGCTGTGAAGCATATTCGGTAAGATCGAAAATTAGCAATATTAAAAAAATTTTTAAAATATGCACAGACATATTATCTTATTAATCTGTATTAAATATACAACATTCTTTTGTAAATGATTGTATATGTCCTACATGTACACGTATTTGTCAAATTATTTCATAAATCATCTTTGTTTATCAATGTTTATTTGTATTCTCAGCGAAAGAATGTAATAAATTATTTAAATGAATTTATACATTTCCAAATTACAAAGATTACTAGTGTAATATTTACACTATAATATGATAAATATTACTATAAAATTAAAGTAAATATGTATCTGTATAATATTTAATTTTTAAATCCCAAGATTATACTTCAAAAATTTATTATTGTAAAAAGAATATGTATATATATATATATATATATATATATATATATATGCGGATTTAAAAAATTGAAGTTTAAACTTATCTAAGAACGATATTGATGAAATGAAATTTATTTAATAAATTAAAAGTAAAAGCATATACATATACATATATATAAACGATTTACTTACAAACAAGAGGATTTGAGGACTTTTTGGAAAATATCCAAAGATATGGGGAACTAGTATCAAATACAACTTTAAAGTTTTGCGGTGGAGTTCCAATTTTAATAGCGCCATAGTAAGCTATATTTTTGAAATTGGTCAAACGTATCGAAGGAAAAATAACATCTGAAGGAACTTTTTGCAATAAGGGGTTAGTTATTCCCCACCAATTCCAGAGAAGTGTCCTTGAAATAACATAAAGAACATTCTGGGAATGCAGATATATTTGATGACCTCTAAAGAAATTTATATTAATGGTTGTCGTTTAAATAAGGATAAAAGCAAGATGAACAAAAGCGAACGTTACGAAAGTACAATGAGACATTTTTTCAAAAATATTCGTATTTGATTTACTCTTTGACAAATAAATAAAAACATATATTTTGACCAAAGAAATTTCATCCAATATGTATAGAAGAATTAATTGCATTTGCTCAAGTTACGCATTTAATCCAAGAAATCGGATACGAGAAAGATTCGATGTTTATAATTTCGATATTTATTATTCCAATATAAACTAAAATATATACGGATATATATATTGGGCGTCAGTCGTCATAAAGAGCACCGTCACCACCATGAGAAGACGAAACATATTTCAGAATTTATTTATTGCTGAAATCTCGATTCGTGAAAATTTCAACGACGTTTTTCTTTCGACACTTTATGACCAGATGCACAGAAAAATAAAGTGTGTCGGTTACTAACTCTCCCTTAGCACTGTATCGGTATACGATGACGTTATATATATATATATATATATATATATATATATATATATATATATATACGATCGCGCGTGTCCCTCTGTTGAATGCTTGAACAGATGAAGAACGCGCGAAATATTCGAAAATTCTTGATGGATTTCCATCGATAAATTTAATTTAAATATATCATATTTTGCATGATCGCGTATTCTTAATTAAGAACGTTTATTTATATAAATTTATGATTAATAATAGAAACAATTCTTTCGAAAGAATACATTTATAATGACTAAATAGGCAATCATGCAACATTAACTTTACAATAGAAAGTTTGAAAAAAGCTGTTTTTAATTAACCGACATTTTTTTATATAATTTCGTGCGGAAAAACCATATTTATGTAATTATAAATCATTTTTTTTTATGAATTCTTGAGATTTTTAAGAGGACAAGAAAATATCTTATATATGCTACATAATCTTGAAATATATATTTAAGTATTCACTAATTTCAGAAATTTTGCTATAAACAATTTATTATGTTAAATTTAAATAGGATAATATTAATATGAATATTTTAACTTAAGAGACTGCACAAAACTTAAAAACCTATACTATATATGTCTTACTTTTAGTATATACATTTCTACTATACGATTCTTTTAGCATATATTATGTAAATTTGATAAAATGTAACAATATGAAATTTTGTAAGGCAAATAATAAATCTCTAATAAGGAAATACTTCTTTATTAAAAAATGTGTCATTAATTTATCGAAATAAGATAACTTTCAATAATGATGCTAACTTCAATTACATTATAAAAATTAATGTATAAAAAGATAATATTAACGTATAATAAGATAACATATAATAAAATAAACACATACAATTAAAAATGTGTCATTTCTTCATTGTAATTTTATTATTAGTTCCTTGCTCTAAATTCGTCCTGATTTAAAAAATTTGATAATACTGGTATAATTCAAACATATATAGCATGCATATATAAACATATATTGTAATTAACATTCATAAATAATAATAAAGATGTAATATTTATAATCAATTTGTAATCAGATTATTTCATGTTTGACTGAAACACGCATCAGCGATAATCCGGAATAACCAGATCTGATGGATAATTCTTATTTGTTACAACATATTTACAAAACTGTTCAGTTGAAAATCATCTTTTTAGACTCCAGAAATGTAGAGAAATTATTAGATCCATTCAAATTAAACGATTTATTGTACTTCTTCGTACATAACGATACGCAAGAGTCATAAATCTAGAACGTACGATGATACTTATGTTTTAAATAATCGCTTTACAATTATGATCTCGTATAAATCTTGTTGAATCATTCATAAGCAAATGCAAAAGCGAATAAACAAAACAAATATCGATTTTTCCAATCTCTAAACGCAATCAATTTCTGTATTCATGACTCAAGTATTTGAGAAAAAGTAACCGAGATATTATTTTTAATTGCATAAAAAAAAACGATACATTATCGGGATACATTATCGTTCAATTGTCACTTTAACGATTAATATGATATAGTAAACCAAAAAAACGCGCTTGTCGTATCTAACAGAATCAAAATTGCAATTATACATTTAAGAACACATGGTGCATAAAGACAGATAAAATCAGGTCGAGAAGTCGAGGATCGAGAATATTTTAGATCCCAGAGATTATTTTAAAGCAATAACAAGCTGTTTTCTCTCTGAAGGGAAGCATATTAATTCTTCTTCATGTACGAAGATGTAGGGAAAACCTTTGAAATTCTCGGTCCATAAAAATGCTACATTTACGAGAGAGCTTCAAGATTAATTTTACTAGATCCAGTGTAACTTTTCACATCCAATTCTTATTAAATCGAGCATTGACAAAATGATTTTTACAACATTATTATAAAATTGAAAACTCTTATTGCACTGCACGAATAACTTTCTATTTAGGATTTATCGTTCTATGTATGCAACCACATTTACATAAGTTTTGGATCTCAGAAAATCGAATGTAATCACGACGAGATAGGTCAATTTTTATAAATTCAATATTTATTATACTGAAATGTAACGTAAACTTACAATACAATGTATGAACTTAGTTTCGGATTTCTGCGTCAGTCAGCATCACAGTCATCACGAGAAAGCGGAACATGTTTTCGAAATTTCCAGTAAATTTCTTTCTGTATTACGACAGTAAATTTCTTTCTGTATTACGACATACAAAAAAAATTGTACTTATCTACTAGAGCTATCATTTATCGACATTTGGCGGCTGTTACATATACAATCGCTCACATTCGAAACATATCCGTGTTATCGATCCGGCCTATCGATCAATTAAATTTAGAAATATTTTATTTAATAGTTTGTTTTATAATTAAAACAAATTGTATTAAAATAAATCATTAAATGTGCGCATGATTAAGAATGATAATGAAGGAGAAATCAATTTCTTGAAAGAATAGATTGATTATGTCGATTAGACGGCCATGCAACAATGATCTTAGCGAATGCCATTACTCGCAAAAATTCGCATTCTATGTAACTATAAGCCCATATCAGTTGCTTTCACGATAAAGTATTGCTGTTGATAACTAAGGAACAGTTATGTAGGTATTACGCAAAAATTCACATTGATAATCTGCGAAATTTGTCGATTGGCGATTAAAAAATTAAATTTTGTTCTTATCAAAAATTAAACAAATAATTTAAAAAATGATGATAAAGTATACAATAAAAGGTAACAATGAAAGATTTTCTATACATTTTGATGGATTCTATACATTTTTCGCCAAAGCAAATCCCACTCGTTTTTTCTCCATGTCAAACTCGGTGTAGTAGCGGCCAATAAATGGCATTCCCAGAATCCATTTTGTTTCACTATCATATGTTTCACTATCGTGTTTCCAGAAGACGGTTATACATATACTTTCATCATATGGATGCTGAGCAGTATTAAATACACAATATAAACCTTTTTTATACATATTTAAATGAATACAATATTTTTCTTATAGCACTCACCCGAATGATATAATCTTTTCCGGTAAGATCGAACGTCTTACCACCCAAATTAAACCTGACTGTAGGCAATTGAAAAATTCGATCGCAGTCCACCTTTAAATAAAACATAATATCAAGTTAATAATTAATCATATTTCATGAATATATTAAGTATAAGTTGAATCCCGCGCAACCATGTCACGCTCACAGGCAACTAGGATGTTAACCACAATGAGCGCCCTTATCTCATTTTTCTTTAGGCCAATGGGAAACTCCCTTGCTCTTGTATTACTAACACTCTCATGGACGTAAGAAATACTGAACAGAGTGTATTGCTGTGGTGATGAAGCTCAAAGGGTGAGGGGAAAGAAATGTCTACTGCAACGGAATATGAGGCATGTAAGACGGACGCATGGCGACGGAAATTAATTTCACGAAGTGTGATATTTTTGAATTTTTTAATATTCAGAAATGATTCGAAATAACACAGCGATTTCGAATGATAGATGATTTCACGGAATCTCTCATATTTTATTCGATTTACGTCCGTGCGACGTGAAAATAGACGCTAAATCTGAAAGATTGCCGCGACAATAAATTCCTCAGGTTTTATACCCCTCGTCTAAAAGAGAACTTTATGGTCTGTCCTGTATTTTTTACGTCCATGAACGCTCTCTTCTTATTGCATTCCTCTGTTCATCTGAGAAACGCTGACACGTTGACTAATATACATCTTATTACAACTTTGTATCAAATATCATAGAATATATTTGCTTATATTTAACTCCGTGTTCCACTGTTGCTTTTTTTCCATAACATTTCAGAACTGACATTGTTCCAAAGAAGCTTATGTTTTATTTGAACATACCTAATATTTATTTCTTTATCTTTTTTATTAACTTTTTATAATTTATTTTTCTATCAAAGACTACGTGCTTTGTGAAAGATATAATTACTTGAAAGATATCGTTTACTTACACTTCTCTGTGAATTAATTTTAATAACTTTATTAATAAGTGAAACATCCCTTTCTGGTCCAATTATTTTCCAAGTACTTGTGTCAACAATAGCTTGGCAGCCTTGCCCGCTCCAGGTTAAACCATTTATTTGGATACTACAAAACGGTGATATTAACAATTTATTGAAAACAATTAATGTAATTTAAAAAATAACGAACCTATCAATAGCAAATTGCCATCCTTTGTTAGTAATAGGAATATATGTAATATCCCCTTCGTAATAAGCAGGATCGGAACCACCGAATATCAATTTACCACCTAAATAGGCTGAAGCATTTCTGCAAATTATGATTTTTATATTGCAATATGTATGAGTGTGATAATTAAAATTAAATTTATTTAATGTGCAAATATAAATATTATTTTAATTTAAATAATTATAATATTATATATAAATAACAAATTTAATTTATGTTAATATTAAAATAAATATATATATATATATATATAATATTCATATTTATTAAAAAAGCTGATTTAGAGAGACATGAAATGTTTGGAAGTAGAGAAGATGTGTACCTATTTAGATAAAAACTGAAAATGCGTGATGACACTAAACCTTGTTCAATCATGTTGTCGAAGACAGTCGTTATTGCATTCTCAGATATATTGGAATAACTCAGGCCCATGAGACCATCAAATTTTTCGTCAAGTATATTTAAATAGAAATTAAATATTTTCAAGTTTAAGTTTACCATTTCTACAAAGGTTTGATTCTTTACGTTGAGGTTGGCAACCTACGATAAAGTTGATATTCAAATAATATATTGCCGCGCAGAAAAAGGAACACAATTGCTTAAGAAATGTTTAAAATATGATTACAGTTATAACTAAATTGGTTTGATTATTTAATAATGACTTACATTCACCATATCATTAGATAGGAATCCATGTATACTGTAATGGATGTATTCTATGTCAATCTTAGTATTATTTGGTATATATGAGTCGGAAAATGTATTATCATATCGAGAACGTGCCACTGTAAAGCATATTCAGTAATATCGGAAATTAGCAATATTATAAAGATTTTTAAAATATGCATAAACATATTATCTTATTAATCTATATTAAATATACAACATTCTTTTGTAAATAATTGTATATGTCGTATGTGTACTTGTCGAATTAATTCGTAAATCATCTTTGTTTATCAATGTATGTTTGTATCTTCAGAGAGACAATATGATAAATTATTTAAATTATTTTTGACATTTTTTATTTAAATTTATTACAATTAGTTATAAAGGGCTTGTAGAGCGAGAAAATAAGGTAACCTTTATTTTGATCTTTTCTGTATTATTGTAATGTCACCGTCGACATAAACTTATTTGGATGTACATTATGACATAATTAAACTTTTATAATATACTTATTTTCTCGCTCTACAAGCCCTTTATAACTAATTGTAATTTTGTATAAGTAGAGCCTCGATTACTTTTATTTAAATTTATTATTTATTAATTAAATTATTTTTGATATTTCCACACTGCGAAAAATGTCCGATGAAATCCGATGTAAATGTAAGGAACGGATATTATCCGATTATTAACCGATGACTTTAATTGCAAAAAAAAGAAACCTATCAGATATCCAATCAGAAAATATCAATCGATGGGATATCTGATCAGAAAGTTCAAAAGTCGGAACTTTCCAAACAGATATCTGATTAAAGTGATCGGTATAATATCCATTCGTTACCTTTTCATCGGATTTCATCAGACATTTTTGTGCAAATTCCAAAGTTTGCTATTGTAATATTTACACTATCATATTAAATATTATTATAAAATTAAAGTAAATATGTATCTGTATAATATTTATCTTTTTAAGTCCCAAGATTATACTTGAAAAATATAATTGTAGATAGAATATATATGTATTCGCGGATTTAAGAAATTGAAGTTTAAGATTATCTAAAGAACGATAATGATGAAATAAAATTTATTTAATAAATTAAAAGTAAATGCATATAATATCTAAATATATATATATATATATATATATATATATAAACAATTTACTTACAACCAACTGTGCATTTTTTGGAAAATATCCAAAGATATGAGGAACTAGTATCAAATACAACTTTAAATTCTTGCTGTGGAGTTCCAATTCCAATAGAGCCATAATAATATACATTTTTGAAATTGGTCAAATGTACTGAAGGAAAATTATTATCTGAAGGAAGTTTTTGCAATTTGGAGTCAGTTATTCCTCGCCAACTCCAGAAAAATTCTCTTGAAATAACATAAAGAACATTCGGTGAATGCAAACATATTTGATGATCTCAAAGAGATTTATATTAACGGTCATAGTTTAAATAGGGATAAAAGCAAGATGGACAAAAGCAAACGTTACGAAAGAACAATGAATCACTCTATCAAAAATATTCTTATCTTATTTACTTTTTGACTAATAAATAAGAACATATATTTTGACCAAAGAAATTTTATCCAATTTGTATTGAAGTATTAATTGCATTCGCTCAAGTTACGCGTTTAATCCAAAAAATCGGATACGAAAAAGATTCGATCTTTATAATTTCGATATTTATTATGCCAATATAAAATATATATAATAAAATATATACGGAAATTGCGTGTCAGTCTTCATAAAGAGCACCGTCACCACCACAAGAAGGCGAAACATATTTCAGAATTTATTTACTGCTGAAGTCTCGATTCGTGAAAATTTCAACGACGACTTTCTTTCGACACTTTATGACTTGATATGCAGAAAAACAAAATGTTGTCGTTTACTATCTCTTCATTAGCACTGTATTGGTATTCAATAGCGTTATGTATATATATGATCATGCGTGTCCCTCTGTTGAATGCTTGAGCAGGTAGAGAAAGCGCGAAACATTCGAAAAATCCTGATAGATTTCCATCGATCAATTTAATTTAAATATACCATATTTTACATGAACGTGTATTTTTAATGCAGAACGTTTATTTACATAAATTCATGATTAATAATAAAAACAATTCTTTCGAAAGAATACATTTATGTCGTCGAAACAGACAATCGTGCAACATTAATTTTACAATAGATAATTTGTAAAAAGTAGCATTTAATTAACCGACATTTCTTTATATAATTTTGTGCGGAAAAACTATATTTATGTAATTATAAATCTTCTTTGATGAATTCTTGAGGTTATTAAAAGGATAAGAAAGTGTACATAATCTTGAAATATATATTTGAATATTCATTAATTTAAAAAATTTTGCTATAAACAATTTGTTATGTTAAATTTGAGATAATATTATTATGAATATTTTAACTCAAGATGCTATACAAAACTTAAAACCATATACTGTATATGTTTTAGTTCTAGTATATATATTTCTACAATACATTTCTTTCATCATATATTGTGTAAATTTGAAAAAATGTAACAATATGAAATTTTATGAAACAAGTAATGTATCTCTAATAAGGAAATATTATTTTATTAAAAATGTGCGATTAATTTATCAAAATAAGATAACTTTCAATAATGGAAAGCATTATATTATGATGATAATTTCAATTGTCTTATAAAAATCAACATATAATAAGATAACGATTAATATGATACGGTAAATCAGAAAAACGCGCTTGTCGTGTTCAACAGCATCAAAATCGCAATTATGCATTTAAAAACACATGATGCATAATACAGATAAAATCTAACCGATAAATCGATAATTTAATGCGGTTTGGAAATATTTTATATTAAAGCGGGATTGTCTTAAAACGCTAACAACGAGATTTTCTCACCAAACGGAAGCATATTAATTGTTGTTCACGTACGATGCAGAAAGTAAAACTGGAAACCTTTCGAAATTCTCTATTCGCAACAATACTACATTTACGAGAGAGCTTCAAGATTAATTTTACTAGGTCCAGTGTAACTTTTCACATCCAATTCTTATTAAATCGAGCAAAAAAATATAATTTTTGTAATATTATTATAAAATCGAAAACTCTTATTATTACTGCACGAACTTTTTATTTACGATTTATCGTTCTATATATGCAATCACCATTACATAAGTTTGGGATCTCACAAAATCGAATGTGGTGACGACGAAATAGGTCAATTTTTATAAATTCAATATTTATTATACTGATATGTAACGTAAACATACATTACAATGTATGAACTTAGTTTTGGATTTCCGCGTCAGCATTTTCGGTCAGCATTACAGTCATCACGAGAAAACGGAACATGTTTTCGAAATTTGCAATAAATTTCTTTCTGTACGTTGCGACATACCAAAAAGAAATTGTATTCGATTACTAGAGCTATCATTTATCGACATTTGGCTGTTATTATATATATAATCGCTCGCATTCGAAACATATCCGTGTTATCGATTATACGTCTTATCGATCAATCAAATTTAAAAATATTTTATACAATATATTGTGTTATAATTAAAACAAATTGTATTAAAATAAATTATTAAATATGTGCGTGATTAAGAATAATAATGAAGGAGAAATCAGCATTTTGAAAGAATAAATTGATTATATCGACTAGACGACAATGCAACATTGAACTTAGCAAATGACACTGCTCGCAAAAAATTCGCATTTTAATTAGCAAATAAGCTCAAATCAGTTGCTTTCACGAGAAAGTATTGTTGTTGAAAATTAAGACGCAGTTATGTAGATATTACGCAAAAATTTACATTGACAGTATGCGAACTTTGTCGATTGGCGATTAAAAAATTAAATTTTTTTCTTACCGAAAACTAAACAAATAATTTTAAAAATGATGATAAATACACAATAAAAGGTGACAATGAAATTTTCTGTACATTTTGATAAATTTTATACATTTTTCGCCAAAGCAAATCCCACTCGGCCTTTCTCCATATCAAACTCAGTGTAGTAACGGCCAATAAATGGCATCCCCAGAACCCATTTTACATCATCTTTATATGTTGACTCGTGTTTCCAGAAGACGGTTACACATGTACTTTTATCATATGGATGCTGAGCAGAATTAAATACACGATATAAAATTCTCTTATACATATTTAAATAATTTAAATAATTTTCTTATGGCACTCACCCGAATGATATAATCCTTACCGGTAAGATCGAATGTCTTACCACCCAAATTAAACCTGATTATAGGCAATTCAGAAATTCTATTGCAGTCCACCTAAATAGAACATAATATCAGATTAACAATTAATCATATTTAGTGAATATAAGTATTCGGAAATAAAAATTAACGTTATTGTTCCATAGAAATTAATGTTTCATTTGAACATACCTATAATTTATTTTTTTATCGCTATTATCAATTTTTTATAATTTATTTTATTCCATCAAAGATTATGTGCTTTGTGAAAGGTATAATTACTTAAAAGATATTGTTTACTTACATTTCCATATGAATTAGTTTTAATAAGTCGATTAATAAGTAAGACTTCCTTTTCTGGACCAATTATTTTCCAAATACTTGTGTCAACGATAGCTTGGCAGCTTTCCTCGAACCAAGTAAAATCATTTATTTGGATACTACAAAGCAATGACGTTAACAATTTATTGAAACGTCATTAATGTAATTTAAAAAATAACGAACCTATCAATGGTAAATTGCCAATATTTTCTGTTAGTAACAGGAATATATGTAAAATCCCCTTCGTAATAAGCAGGATCGGAACCACCGAATATCAATTTACCACCGAAATCGGCTGAAGCGTTTCTGAAAATTATATTTTTTATATCGTATATTTTTTATATCGTATATAATAGTATATGTGTGTGATAATTAAAATTAAGTTTATTTAATGTGCAAATATAAATAATATTTTAATATTAAAAAATCTCGTTTAGATAGGTATACGATGCTTATAGGTGGAAAAGATATGTACCTATTTAGATAAAAACTGAAAATGCCTGATGACATTAGTCCTTGATGAATCATATTCTCGATGACAGAAAATGGTTCGAATGTTTGTTGATAGCTCAGGCCCAAAAGACCATCATATTTTCGGTCAGATTTATTTAAGTATGATTCAAGCATATGTTCGTTTGATATATTTACCGCTTTTAGAAATGTTTGCCTCTCTACATTGAGGTTGGCAACCTACGATAAAGTTTGTATTGAAATAATACATCGTACATTGCTACGGAAAAAATAGAACACGATTGCTTAAATAATGTTTAAACTATCATTTTAGTTATAATTAAATTAGAATGTTTATTTAATAATAACTTACATTTACTGTATCAGTAGATAGAAATCCTGTTACATTATAATCGAGGTATCGGTATAATAATACATGAAATGATGTATTATTTGGTATGTATGGGTTGGAAGACGTATTATCATATTGACTACGTGTCACTGCGAAGCATATTCAGTAATATCGAAAATTAGCAATATTAACAAAATTTTTTAAATATGCATAGACATATTATCTTATTAATTTATATTAAATATACAACATTTTTTTATAAATAATTATATATGTTGTACATGTACACGTTTTTATCGAATTAATTCATAAATCATCTTTGTTTATCATTGTTTGTTTGTATCTTTAAAGAGTGAATGTGATAAATTATTTTAATCAATTTAAACATTTTCAAATTCCAAAGTTTGCCATTGTAATATTTACACTACAATATTAAATATTACTAGAAAATTAAAATAAATATGTATCAGTATAATATTCAACTTTTTAAATCCCAAGATTATACTTGAAAAATATAATTGTAGAGATAGAATATATATATATATATATATATATATATATATAATATATACAGGGTGGGGCATTTATCTTGAGACAAGATAATATCTCGATTGGAGTCGATTATTTTGAAAAAAGTTTTAGACAAAAGTTGTAGGATTTTTCCCGGGCAATCCGACGGTGACCTTAGATTTGACCTTGGATAGTCATTTGAAGGTTACATAAAGATTACCTTCAATTTCTTAAATGGAACCCCCTTTTCATTACATATTCTTGTAGCTTATCTCGAGAGCTTTCCAAAACACTATAATTAAGTACCTTTTTATTAAGTACTTTTTGAGTTATAAGGCTTGAAATAATTTCTTAATTTTACATAAACCATAAAATATCTAGTAAATCATTCATTTTTCGATTATCTTACCTTCATACTTTTATGTACAAAATAATGACAGGAATCAATTGGTGTAAAGAAAACATACAGTTGTTTTTAAGAAAAAATATGGAATTGTTAATTGCAAATTACATATTTTTTCTTAGAAACAACTATGTGTTTTCTTTACACCAATTGATTCCTCTCATTATTTTGTACATAAAAGTATGAAGGTAAGATAATCGAAAAATGAATGGTTTACTAGATATTTTATGGTTTATGTAAAATTAAAAAATTATTTCAAGCCTTATAACTCAAAAAGTACTTAATAAAAAGGTACTTAATTATAGTGTTTTGGAAAGCTCTCGAGATAAGCTACAAGAATATGCAATGAAAAATAGGGAGTTCCATTTAAGAAATTGAAGGTAATCTTTATGTGATCTTCAAATGACTATCCAAGGTCAAATCTAAGGTCACCGTCGGATTGCCCGGGAAAAATCCTACAACTTTTGTCTAAAACTTTTTTCAAAATAATCGACTCCAATCGAGATATTATCTTGTCTCAAGATAAATGCCCCACCCTGTATATATATATTCGCGGATTTAAAAAAATTGAAGTTTAAGCTTATCTAAGAACGATATTGATGAAATGAAATTTATTTAATAAATTAAAAGTAAAAGCATACACATGTACATGTATATACAGGGTCTACCAAAAGTGTGGAAACCCCTAAATATCTCGGAAAATATACGTTTTACAGAAAAGTGTTTCCAACAAAAGTTGTAGGGTTTAAGAAGATCTATATACTGATTCTATCAGTTTGACCTTGGATGGCGTCGTCAAGGTCAGGTCAAGGTCACATTGACTTTTTTAAATGACACCCCCTACATTTGATTGCATATTCTTATAGCTTAATTCAAGAGCTTTCCAAAACACTATAATAATGTTCATTTTTATTAAGTACTTTGCGAGTTATGAGGGTTGAAATAATTTCTTAATTTTACATAAACCATAAAATATCTAGTAAACCATTCATTTTTCGATTATCTTACCTTCATACTTTTATGTACAAATTAATGAGAGGAATCAATTGGTGTAAAGAAAACACATAGTTGTTTCTAAGAAAAAATATGTAATTTGCAATTAACAATTCCATATTTTTTCTTAAAAACAACTGTATGTTTTCTTTACACCAATTGATTCCTTTCATTATTTTGTACATAAAAGTATGAAGGTAAGATAATCGAAAAATGAATGGTTTACTAGATATTTTATGGTTTATGTAAAATTAAGAAATTATTTCAACCCTCATAACTCGCAAAGTACTTAATAAAAATGAACATTATTATAGTGTTTTGGAAAGCTCTTGAATTAAGCTATAAGAATATGCAATCAAATGTAGGGGGTGTCATTTAAAAAAGTCAATGTGACCTTGACCTGACCTTGACGACGCCATCCAAGGTCAAACTGATAGAATCAGTATATAGATCTTCTTAAACCTTACAACTTTTGTTGGAAACACTTTTCTGTAAAACGTATATTTTCCGAGATATTTAGGGGTTTCCACACTTTTGGTAGACCCTGTATAAACGATACTTACAAGCAACAGGATTTGTGGACTTTTTGGGAAATATCCAAAGATATGGGGAACCACTATCAAACACAACTTTAAATTCTTGCGGTGGAATTCCAATGCTAATAGTGCCATAATAAATCACGTTGTCGATGTTGGTCAAACGTACCGAAGGAAAATTCTGAACTGAAGGAACTTTTTGCAACTTGGTGTCAGCTTTTTCCAAAATAAATGGCAGAAAATCCATCATTGCCAAAAAACTTTCATGCAAAATCCTTGAAATAACATAAAGAACATTCTGTGAATACAAATATATTTATTGACTTCCAAAGAGATTTATATTAACGGTTGTTGTTTAAATAGGGGTAAAAGCAAGATGAACAAAAGCAAACTTTACAAAAGAACAATGAGTCACTCTATCAAAAATATTCTTATTTTATTTATTTTTTGATTAATAAATAAAAATATACGTTTTGACCAAATAATTTTATCCAATTTGTATTGAAGTATTAATTGCATTTGGTCAAGTTACGCGTTTAATTCAAGAAATCGGATACGAGAAAAATTCGATCTTCATAATTTCGATATTTATTATACCAATATAAAATATAATTAAAATATATACGATAATTGCGCGTCAGTCGTCATAAGGAGCACCGTCATCACCACAAGAAGGCGAAACATATTTCAGAAGTTATCTAATGCTGAAGTCTCGATTCGTGAAAATTTCTACGATGACTTTCTTTCGACACTTTATGATCACATACGCAGATAAATAAAGTGTTGTCCTTTACTAACTCTTCCTTAGCACTGTATCGGTATTCGATAGCGTTATATATATACGATCACGCGTGTCCCTCTGTTGAATTCTTGAACAGGTAAAGAAAGCGCGAAACATTCGAAAAATCCTGATAGATTTGCATCGATCAATTTAAATATACTATATATAATATATTTTGCATGAACGTGTATTTTTAATGAAGAACGTTTATTTACATAAATTCATGATTAATAATAAAAACAATTCTTTCGAAGGAATACATTTATGTCGTCGAAAGAGACAATCATGCAACATTAACTTTACAATAGATAATTTGGAAAAAGTAGCATTTAATTAACTGACACTTCTTTATATAATTTTGTGCGGAAAAATTAGATTTACATAATTATAAATACATAATTACATAATTTACATAATTAAAAATCATCTTTTTTGACGAATTCTCCAGATTTTTAAAAGGACAAGAAAGTGTACATAATCTTGAAATATTTTTTTAATTTAAATATTCATTATATATAAAACAACATAATAATTTAGTATCGAGCACTATTCATTATATATTTTTTTAATTTAAATATTCATTAATTTCAAAAATTTTGCCATAAACAATTTATTATGTTAAATTTGAGATAATGTTATTATGAATATTTCAACTCAAGATACTATACAAAACTTAAAAACATATACTATATATGTCTTACTTCTAGTATATATATTTCTACAATACATTTCTTTCATCATATATTATGTAAATTTGAAAAAATATAACAATATGAAATTTTATGAAACAAATAATGCGTCTGTAATATGAAAATATTTTTTTCATTAAAAATGTGTCATTAATTTATTGCAATAAGATAACTTTCAATAATGGAAAGTATTATATTATGATGATAATTTCAATTGCATTATAAAAATCATTATATAAGATAACATATAACAAGATAAACACAATAATTTATACAATAAAAATGTGTCATTTCTTCATTGTATATGTATTATTAGTTCTTTGCACTAAATTAGTCCAGATTTAAAAAATTTGATAATATTGATATAATTGAAACGTATATAGCATGGATATATAAACATATATTGTAATTAACATTCATAAATAATAATAACAATGTGATATTTATAATCAATTTGTAATCAAATTATTTCAGGTCTGACTCAAACAGACATCAGCGACAAGGCAGAATAAGTGAATAGTGGTTATTTGATACAATATATATACAAAACTGTTCAGTTGAAAATCGTCTCTTTGGTCTCCAGAAATATAGAGAAGTCATTAAATTCATTAGGATTAAATTCATTTAAATTAAGTAAAACCTATTGCACTTCTTCGTACATAATGATACGCAAGAATCATGAATCTAGAACGTATGATGATTAGTTACGTTTTAAGTAATTGAGCTACAATTCTGACCTCGTATAAATTTTCTCGAATCATTCATAAGCATATGCATAAGCAAGTGGACAAAGCAAATATCGATTCTTCCAATCTCTAAACACAATCAATTCCTGTATTCCGGATCTATGCAAGTATTTGAGAAAAAGTGACCGAGATATTTTCTTTTAATTGCATGAAAAAAATACATTACCGTTCATTTATTACCGCAACTTCTAACGATTAATATGATACCGTAAATCAGAAAAACGCGCTTGTCGTGTCCTACAGCATCAAAATCGCAATTATGCATTTAAGAACACATGATGCATGATACAGTAAAATCCAGCCGACAAATCGATAATCTAATGCGGTTTGGAAATATTTTATATTAAAACAAGATTATTTTAAAACAGTGACAACAACTGTTCACTGAACGGAAGCATATTAATTCTTGTTCACGAAGATGTAGGAAGTTAAACGGGAAAATTTTTGAAATTTTCTATCCACAAAAATTTTATATTTACGAGAGCACTTCAAGATTAATTTTACTAGACCCAGTGTAACCATTTACCTCCAATTCTTATGAGATCTAGCGAAAAGAATATGATTTTTATAACATTATATATTGTAAGTTTGAAAACTTTTATTGCATTGCACGACATAAGTTTTACATAAGTTTGGAATCTCAGAAAATCGAATGTGATCAGGGCGAGAGATCAATTCTTAAATTCAATAATCATTATGATATGTAACGTAAACTTACAATACAATGTATGAACTTAGTTTTGGATTTCTGCGTCGGTCAGCATCACAATCATCACGAGAAAGCGGAACATGTTTTCGATATTTCCAGTAAATTTCTTTCTGTACGTTACGACATACAAAAAAGAAACTCGTCTACTAGAGCTATTATTTATCGACATTTGGCGACCGTATATATTATATATACAATCGCTCGCATTCGAAATATAACCTTTTTTATTGATCATCCGTCCTATTGATCAATCAATTTTAAAAATATTTTATTTAATATTTTGTGTTATAACTAAAACATATTGTTTTAAAATAAATTATTAAGTGTGTGCGTAATTAAGATTAATAATGAAGGAGAAATCAGTTTTTCGAAAGAATAGATTGATTATATCGATCAGACGGCCATGCAACAATGACCTTAGCGAATGCAATTACTCGCAAAAATTCGCATTCCAAATAAAGTATTGCTGTTGAAAATTAAGTCGCAGTTATATAGGCATTACGCAAAAATTCACATTAATAATCTGCGAACTTTGTCGGTTGGCGATTAAAAAATTAAATTTTTTTCTTATGGAAAATTAAACAAATAATTTAAAAAATGATGATGAGTACACAATAAAAGGTGACAATGAAACATTTTCTATATATTTTGATAAATTTTATACATTTTTCGCCAAAGCAAATCCCACTCGGCCTCTGTCCATATCAAACTCAGTGTAGTAACGGCCAATAAATGGCATCCCCAGAATCCATTTTACATCATCTTTATATGTTGACTCGTGTTTCCCGAAGACAGATATACATGTACTTTTATTATATGGATGCTGAGCAGAATTATATACACGATATAAACTTCTCTTATACATATTTAAATAATTTAAATAATTTTCTTATGGCACTTACCCGAATGATATAATCCTTACCGGTAAAAACGAACGTCTTAACATCAAAATTAAAACCACGCAAATTAAACCTGATTATAGGCAAATGAGGAATTATATTGCAGTCCACCTTTAAATAGAACATAATATCAGATTAGCAATTAATCATATTTAGTAAATATAAGTATTTCTGAAATAAGAATTAACGTTATTGTTCCGTAGAAATTAATGTTTCAACATACCTATAATTTACTTTTTTATCGCTATTATCAATTTTTTATAATTTACTTTTTTCTATCAAAGATTATGTGCTTTGTGAAAGATATAATTACTTAAAATATATTGTTTACTTACCCTTCCATATGGATTAGTTCTAGTAAGTCGATCAATAAGTAAGACGTCCTTTTCGGGACCAATTATTTTCCAAATACTTGTGTCAACGATAGCTTGGCAGCTTTTCTTGCACAAAATAAAATTAGACGACATCACATAAGTCATTTCGATACTACAAAGCGATGACATTAATTAATTTGTTGAAACATCACTAATGTAATTTAATAAATAACGAACCTATCAATGGTAAATTGCCAATATTTTCTGTTAGTAACAGGAATATATGTAAAATCCCCTTCGTAATAAGCAGGATCGGAACCACCGAATATCAATTTACCACCTAAATCGGCTGAAGCGTTTCTGCAAATTATGTTCTATATAAATAATATTTTAATATTAAAAAATCTCGTTTAGATAGGTATACGATGCTTATAGGTGGAAAAGATATGTACCTATTTAGATAAAAACTGAAAATGCCTGATGACACTAGTTTCTGTTGAATCATGTTGTAGAAGACAGGCTTTATTTCACCGACAGGTATGTTGTAACAACTCAGGCCCAAAAGACCATCAAATTTTCGGTCATATATATTTGAGTACCATCCAAGTTCGTCTGTATATTCCTCTGATATGTTTACCACTTCTAGAAATGTTTGCCTCTCCACATTGAGGTTGGCAACCTACGATAAAGTTTGTATTGAAATAATACATTGTACATTGGTATGCAAAAAAAAGAACACGATCGCTTAAGTAATGTTCAAACTATCATTTTAGTTATAATTAAATTAGAATGTTTATTTAATAATGACTTACATTCACTGTACCCCTAGATAGGAATCCTGTTACATTGTAATCGAGGTATCCTACATGAAATAATCTATTATCTACTATATATGGATTGAATGACGTATTTTGACTACGTGCCACTGTGAAGCATATTCAGTAATAACGAAAATTAGAAATATTTAAAAAATTTTAAAAATATGCATAGACATATTATCTTATTAATTTATATTAAATATGCAACATGCTTTTGTAAATAATTATTTATGTTGTACATATACATGTTTTTATCGAATTAATTTATAAATCATTTTTGTTTATCAATGTTTGTTTGTATCTTCGGGTGGAGTTCCGAATAGGTGAACCCTCCGATTTTTTTGAGACTATACTATTTTTTTGTATTTTTGTGCGCTGATTACAAATATGATAATGAAAATTTGCGAGGTCATTTTCAAGATCAAAACTCCAAAAAATTGCAAAAAATATCAGTTTTTTGACATTATTTCGATAAATATTCATGTATCAAAAAAATGTTTCAAATAATAGTTGTAGTTCTTGTAAAAATATATCATTTATGTTCTATACATTTTTCGCGTAAAATTAAAAGTTTTCGAGAAAATCGACGTTAAAGACGTTGCACATCGTTCAGTTGTACACAGAAGCTCCTTCGAAAAAACTCTGGGGATGAAATAATTTGGATAAAAGACTTTGGGATTAAAACGACTTGGGAACAAAGTAGGTCGGGGGCATATTATAGGGGGGTTCGGGGGTTGAAGCCCCCCGAGGGGCAAACGTACGAGCAGAAAAAGAGGGGGTGCGGGGGGGGCGAAGCCCCCCCGCCTATGATATAGCTAATATCTATTATATATAAAAATTTAAAATA